ATATGAAAGTGAATGTTTGGGGAATCTAGCAAGTTTCGATATATTACTGTGGTTTTAGCCGTTTGGCTGTAATTCGTGTTCAAAGTTTAAAAATGCTCGAAAAAGCAGTGTTTTTACATTTCATTGCATCTTTTGGATTTATTCTATCTATTATAGTTTGAGAGAAAATCAATAAAAATGTGAGAACAGTGCTTCTTTTCAAGCTTTAATTTTTCATATTTACAATTTTGAACGTATTCCCCGAATATTCATTGCATTTTCGAGTAACCAATCGTTTCTTAAATATAAAAATAAATAATAAAAATCAGAGAATGCTGTTGTGACATTTCGTGAACAAAAAAGAAACAAATATTTTGGAGAAACGTCAACATTTTTTTTTCGTCGCATTCTTAAAAATACCCGATAGATACGTAATCTTTATTCGAACTGTCTTGGACGTAATATTACATGTCTAGATCGTGAGGATACGAAGAGCGTACAAATCTGTAGAAATATCATAATTTGTATGTTGGCAAATAAACGAACATAACATTTATTCACCGAGAATTCCATATCAAATCTATCAAGCAGAACCGGAAAGACCGAGGTTATCAAAGAGTCGTTTAAACATGAAACATTTAAGATACAATACGTAAATAATTATGTAATTTAATAAACGAGCAATAATTAATATTTCCTATATGCAAATGTAATAAAAACATACTAAATATTTACTTACTCAATTATGAAATTGATGGTTCAATCTGCTTTTAAAAATAAACAATGAATATTATGTAGATGCCGACGGACGTTACCATAACAACAAGCAGGTTTACATCTAAATCGATGAATTCCGTTCTGTTTTTTTTAAATCAATTAAGCGCAAATGATTCGCTCATTGGAAAAAAAAACAGTCAATGCAGCAACAATTATTTATAGACAAGCAAACAAAAGATAAGAAACGTTGATTTCATCCAACCGCAATTTCAACAATTACATACGAATCCGGTTTTATGAGAATCGAGCTGAAGAATTGGGGATCCGTTACGAATTGTAAATTATATTTCGTGGCTACTTTTAATAGACGGACAAACGAGGTGGTTCGACGTAAATAACAGAAGATTTTTTTCCTCTCTATTCCTATTCGTCGTCTAATTTTCTAACTACAGTTATAGACCAATCCTTTTCTTCTTGTGGTTCATAAGAAGCATACCAATTAGGTATTTTACATTATAAAATTGGATTCTCTTTACACGTGTATATATTTTTTTTTAATATAGTAGATTACCAAATTGTTGTGTAATATTCAATCTTTACAGTTAACTCGATAGATAAAATTACTTTAATTTAATGATTTTACCAGAATACAATAGTTATTTATATTAAAACCAATTATGAACAAGTTTCCTTGAAAACCGATTAAATTCTTGTATAAATTAAGCAAACCATCTCCGAACCGTCTTTCAGATTGCCATTCTATATGCATCATAGACGTGTTATTTTTCCGCGTTCATTGCCAACCGCTTACACAAACACATACCTACATATTTAAATAATTCTATATATCCTCGACGTTATTTAATAACATCATTAAGTGTATTCGCAACGTTCGTTAATTCACGTGTTTATCCTCCATTCATACGGCAACCTTCGATCAAGTTAGTTATTATTAAAACTTATACTTATTGTCATGGTAACTGTAAACCAATTGTAAAACATGAGTAACGTAATTGCAGGATCGCGCGCTCGTTTCATTTATGAAATTGATTTGCGATGTGCAAGATGGTGCATGGGCCCGATGTGCAAACGAATAATGAATGAATTAAAGAATTAAAGAGTCGGGTCAACTGCAATATGTGTTTCAAGGGAACCGAATGCAATTTCAGCAAATGGTAATTGGTCGTTTGGCAATCGAACCAAAACATACGCGTCCTGTTATTTGATTGTGATGCAATTAAAGCAATTACAACAATCGTCCTTATTAGATGAACTAAACTTGCATTGGAAATGGAAGTTACGAAAAAAAAAAAAAAAGAAAGACAAGAAATATGTATTGCGGCGACCGGCGAATATAAAATCCTTGATGGAATGCGCAATGACTCACAAATTAACAATAATTATTGTTTAATTGCCTTCTGATAATACAAACGCAACTGTGAATATTCAATTATGATTTCCTCTCTCAAGCAGTCGTATTTTGCATTTGCTAGTCTTCATTTATTTCAGTATGAAGTATAATAATTCTCCAACACAATTTCGCCTTAATAATAGCAATAAGTGAATTGTCAAAATCGCCCTTAATCCATAAATGTATTATTACGATATAATAGGTCAAATGTTTTTACATTAATGGAAAATATATGCTTGTATATTGCATAATAACGTTGGATCTTATCTAATCTAGTTTATGGATATCCTTAATCCTTAAGCACACAGTTGTAGTAGTAGTTCTTAACCCTAATTCGGATCTTGACACAATTCTTTTTAATTAATATGATTACATCAACACTCTAATAAGGCATTGGTTTACTATTGTTTTGAAATTTATTTTTTTTTTCTTATAAGAAGTAAGTTTGGTTGCTTGCATCTTAAGATGTACTATGTTGATAGATACTTATGGTGGTTATGTTCAGTTATGTTTGAATTTCAGAATAAGTGAAAAAGTTTACCTGAAAGTATTGGGATACTTCTTTTGCAACTGCACTGCAGCACTGTAATCAGCAACCATGTCTGCACAAAGAATGTTTGGATTGTCACAGTCTGGGACACCGGGGCACCAGTCCCTGTGTTTCCTGGATTGCAGGGTTCCCCTTGGATCACGAACAAGGAGCAGCACCTTGGCATTCAGTCTGAAAGTATAATAAAAATATGAATATTCATTTCGAGTACCAATGAACTGCTAATTATTGATTTCACTGAGTGTGTTTTACTGTGTGTGTATTGATCGAGCTGCATGTGTTTGTATTGGATGGAATTAGGTCAGACTCACTGTTCATCCTTGAGGAGTTCCTCAGCAAGCTTGAGGCGCAATCGGACCACCTTCATGGATTGAAAGGGAAACAGTTTGCAGAAGTCATTGAGGAAGTTGGCATTCCAGCAGATCTCCTTCTGCTCACACTGACTCCAGAGCCGACTGTTGTGTATGAAGAGGTACTCGTGCGACTTGCCGTACTCCAGGTAGCGACGCATTTCGGTGTAGTCGCAGTTGAGGAGGTTCTTCAGAGAGGTGATCGCCGATTCGGCGAGAGGAGGACCACGCACCTGGACTATTCCGTAGTCCAGCAGCGGCTCGTAGTGGTAGTAGTTCCCGGGAATGGAGTTGAGGACGTCGCCGAGGAACGTCGATCCTGAGCGCCAGGTGGTCACGATGATGCTCCTCACGGGTTTCCCGTTCGTGGAGGGCGTATAATTGGCCAGATGGGTGCCGTCAGGGAACCTGTAGTTCTTGGTCTGAATGTCGATCAGATCCTTTTGGACCTGGATGACCTCTCGGACGGACGGAATGATGGAGTCGTTGACGATGGACGACGACGAGTAGTCATCCTCGATTAGTTCGGTGTAGTGCACGGTCCTCGGGTACTGCGGCAGCGGTTCCTTGTGGTTGTAGGAAATAATGAGCAGCAGCGAGAACACCACTATCCCTATGAAACCTAGAAGATTGATCCTCCGCACCATCGTCGCTGATCTAGGGATGATGTTGACGATACCGCCTATCGCCTACAAATGAGAGAGCAACGAAGAAGATTTAACGTTCGTTAAAAATATATAAAAAAAAACTATAAACATTTACACAACGCACCGTTCATTTATGACTCCGAGAATAGTACCTGTTTATTTTTCAGCGCATTTGAAAATGCTGCGAGGCACCCTCCACGGCATAACACTTCTGTCTGTCTGTCTGCTGTATGTTAGTTATTTCCCCACTTCGTGCATGGGGCGGACGTTGCCGCTCCGCGACCTCCTATACGGAATGCGCAACGAACTCTGATCCATCTATCGGCGATGAACGAAGAGCTGTGGCAACGCGGCGCAACGGTACTTGCGACCAAACACATAATACACACAACAATTCGATTACAGAGCTACTATTCGAAATGGAGGGTGCGACAACTGGAAGCAATAATGAAATAAAAATGAAACAATCCATAAGAATCCATTCCCAGAAGCCGCTGCAAATTGTCGCATCGTCCAGCGGGCGATGCCCAACGATTCGATCGACTTTGAACCCATTGCATGCATCTGCAGCGGGGAACGCCCTGCAACGCGTCGATTGGCCAAAATAGATCCCTTCTATATATGCATCACTCGGATACAGCACGCATTCTGCAGCATGCATGCATTCAGCTACACCATCTGCAACAATTTCAAATATTAACGAAACTTCAAAAGTTTTGAAGTATTGTTATAGGGACGTGGGCGTGGCTTAATATCGAAGTTTTCAATATCGTTAATACTTCAAAATGTATTTATTTGTAACCGAAAACGTTTAAATTTGATTCAATACAAATAAGAATGTGAGACTTTAGAATATCTACATCGAAATGAGATGTTTTAAAGATTACTCGGATACTTATTAACGTAGGTCTATGATGCGATGGGAGGAGCCATTTCAAATCATCCAATCTCTTTGAGATCAAAGTCATTAAGCGCTTAAATTAAAGGAATGTATTGTTTGTTATTGTCAATTTTTTTTATTGACGCTCATACAGTGTAATTTCTCAAAGAGTAAAAATATTGAATGGAAACAGTACTGACAAAATAAAACGGTAAGCAATACTGATCGCGTGCGGCCCGCCGATCCGAACCCCCCCGGGCGTATTGCGGTGGCCAGTACTTCGGTTTTCACTAAATACTGTATAGTACGAGGACGCGATAGGGATAGAGATAGGTATATGCGCGAGTGCGAGCGAGAAATGCGATGGTTCTGGTAGTAGTAGTTGTATTAGAAGAGGGCGATGGTGGCGAGCGCAGCCGGCAGCAGTTGTAGATCGCTCTCCGCATTCGGTGCCGAGCAGCGATGATTCAGTCGGTGAACGTCGAGGCAACAACGCAGACGTCCATCCTCGAACCGTGCAAGACACAACACCACCACCACATTACCACCTGAGCCGTGCCGAAAAAAGAAAAAACTGCGAGTGCAAAGTGCCGCCGAAAACGAAGAAAAAAATAAAGACAACCGAACTGTCTATAATTACATCGGTATAAATATATATATGTAAATCTGTCCGTACTTCTCTAGTTCAGTGGATATTTTTAACGAAACATTAGGTGAGTGAGTACCGTCCGAAGTTATCATCTCCGCTCCACCGACTGACGCCCACGTCCTCGCTTGCATCCTCCCTCGATTACGCTTATCCCAGTAGCTTCCTGTTCCTCTACCAAAACTCTTCCATCTACGCTTTTCCGAAAATCGATAAATATTTATAACCGTTGCATTTTGCACCTGGCCGCCTCCGATCCATTACTCCCAATATTGTCCTCTGGCGAACACCAAAATTGATTTTCCATCCCCCTTTTCTTCGGTTGTTCGTCCGCTCCAAATTATTCCGAAGAAGACCTAAATCAAGAAATCAACACATTCCCGTTATTACACAAATCCGTGCGGATATTATATGTACAATATATATATAAATTGTAAATATTCTCTTTCTCGCACCTATTAGAATTCAAAAGGACAAACTAATAGCAGGCAGACAGGATGCAAGCTCTAACTGTACGTTGTTTATTCAATAAGTAGTAACTCGCAGCGGGTAACTTAACTCCTATACTAAACTTTCAATACTTTATAATGATTACACTTTTCCTTCAAATCAAACTAATAGCTTTAACATCTAACGAAATGTGCATAAAGTTTGAATTCGCTACTTTCCAAACGGACCCAAGATCATTGCTGATGAACTCAAGTTCATATCAAAATTGTAAACTTTTTCAAGTTCTCTTAAGTTACTTTAAAACAAAAATGATAACATTTAAAACAAACAAGAGCTAAATTAATGATCTTGTTAACCTTTCATATGATAAAGTAAACGTATTGCAAATGCCGCTGCAATAATCTACATTATAAAAACATCAAGCAAATTTTACTAATAATAATTGAATATTTGTTTAATATAAATTAAATTTAATTGAAATTTGTTATTAATAAATAAATTTAATTCTCCCATCAAATTAACTCTTTTCAGTGTTCAATTTTCAATTAAGCTAAGAGCCCAATTAGTTTAAATGAACTCAAGTTCACTCCAAACACAATAGCATTGAATAAACATCACAAATGAATACCAATTGAAATTCGCAAGTGATCCATAACTGTTACGATTGCTGTATTTTATTATTTTAAGTATTCAAAATCTACATGTTTTATATAGTAAATGTCACGATGATATAGTTCATGTAAATAATGATAACATTTCCATTACAATAACAGTAAGCTGGTTATTTGACAATTTTGACGTAAGAACTCATTTTTTTTTTAGTAAACGTTATGATGACATTTCACATAAATAATATTTAAATTTCCATAGCAACGTAATATAGAAATCCTAATTAAGAGACACATAAGTGGATATATAATTAGTATCAGTTTCGTATCAACAGACACAAAGAAATAGATTCAATATTTCTTGAAATAAATGAAATGTCAAATTTTGACAATATCAAAAAACGAATGAATTATGTATTCTTTATGTATTGTTTGTATGTAAAATATTTCTTCTTCACACGACACGCAATATAACACCGCCACCATCTGCTGCCCGTCTTCCATTCGCATTCGCTTCGGTTTAATTCAGCTATTCCGAGTTTTTGTTTGTGTGTGTCAGCGCAACGGAGGAGTGAGCTCTTCCTCCCATCCTCTGGGAAGTCTCGATTTGCATGCGCGCATCATCATCATCATCCCCGATGCTCCGGATCAACGCGAGTTACGTTTCGATACGTCTCGCATCGCTCGTTTCCTTCCGGCCTTCATTGTTCAATGAATGCTCTCCCTCTGTTCGTCTCATTGTTTAACTTCTTTTTTTTTTTTGTAGTTTAGAGTAATTAAAAGTTCAGCCCTGAACAGAGAACAGCACAATCGTTTATTTCATCGCGCTTCGAGCGTTTGTTTTCGATAATGTTTCTAAATGAGAAAACCATGTCCAATGATGTTCACTTTTCTCGTACATCATCATTATTATTTCATTCCATCTTCACCAAAGTGAAACTCTATAACACTCGAATTAATCCAAGGATTCGAGTATTGCAATACGTGCGTTTGACGACTGATTTTCGTTCGAATGTCCTCGGATTAGAACGAAGTCATGAATGTTTCAATGTTACTCTGTGCACTTCGATTATTCCAAACACGAGTTTTTCAATAATCGCTGGAAATCCTGGAAATAATCACAAGAAGTCTGTGTGGGGAATTCACGTCGAAATTGAAATATTCCGATCATATTAATTTTTGCGTCGCATTTGAAACCGAACATTCCGCATTAATTAGAACCTAATTGGAAATGTTCCAATGCGCCACGACCTGTACTTTCACTGAATTCGTAATGCAACAACAGAAAACTTTCGTTCGGCATTGTGCGTTTGCTTTTCAACTCATCGTCATTATATTCTCTCATCTTCTCTTTTCGTTTATATGCAAGAATTCATTGGTTCGGGCGAAACAACGAAGCGAACGTTAATTGAAACATACAAATAGAGAGAGAGACACACGTTTTTGTTTTGCTAATGCTCCATTTGTCGGTGCAGCAATTGGAGCAAGTTAATAGACATGAGAAAGTGCAATGCGATATTTACACTGTGCAAGTGAACTTTCAATGAGAATGTGTGTGTGTGTGTGCAGTTTATTTTTTTCATCCTCTCTAATTGAATATTTATGAAGATAGAAGAAAACACTAGCTGCAAGAGTCTGCTGGTGTGGTGTTTGTGTGGATGCATAAATTTCAGTATCAAAGTTTCCCATTTGTAATCAAAAAGGAACGGAAATCGTTTGCATAAATTGTAAGAAAGAAAAAATATGCTTAATCTATAGTTTATTAATCAGCTCATATGAATAGAAAACAATGAAGCAAAAGAAAAACAAGAGGTAAACGGTTGGAAGTTAAACATGCATTTGTTGTTTTAGGTCTGAATTAATCGATAATTATCAAAATTACTATGGCAACTGGATTCAATTTATAAAGGTCACCGATCCAGGATTACATACGGTTGCTTAACTTCAGAGTAAGCTGCCAAGTCGATGGATAAGATAAGACAATGTTTGTGTAGAAAGTGGAAATCAGCTGATCTAGGTTTTCTACATTAAGAAAATTACTTATTTCAATGTAAATGTACGGAAACCTGTGCAAATGTAGAAATTGCAGAATAATGATTACGTGATGTGTTTTCATTTGTTTGATTTAAGCTTGCTGCAATGTAATCTCTTTATGGAATGAGTAATATAATATATATATACATAGGATGTTATTCTTAGTTAATATCGCGTCAGATTATTCACACAGAAAACTCGATGTGATCCTATTGAAAATGTTGTTAATTTGACTAACTGAAATTTCATTTGTAAATGGAAGAAATGATAAAGGTTTGCAGTGAAAGACTCGTTATTCAGTCTGGAGAGTGCATGTTCGTCTTGTTCGCTTGACAATTTCCGCGAAATCAAATGCGACCGTCGTCTGCTTTTGTGCGTTTGATCTGGAGAAAGGGGGGAATGTAAAGAGAATGAAAAGCCAGCCAGCCAGGCACTCGGTGAAATTGAAGAAACGAAGTCGAGATGAGAGTGGCGGAGTGCAGAGTGCAAACGATATTCAGAAAGTAACACCGGCGGCTTTCCTTCCTCCTCTCCCACGGCCCTCACAACATTTGCGGAAACACATTCGATATTTGACGACGAGGAGGTGGTGCTTCGTTCCTTCGTTCTTGCTGAAGAGATCTCAGGAGAGAACCAGATAGTTCGACGAGGTCGCAACTCTCTGCTGCGACAAAACCCGGGGCGTCGTCGAGATGTGTACGAGCGAACGAGCTCAACGAAGAAGACGAAGAGTGTATATAAACCAGGTTCATTGACTATAACCACGCGTTCCTCGAACCGTGATATTCGCACACACACACACACACTCTGTTTAGCATTCATTATTTTTCATTATAACACATGGGAAAGGTTCGCCTTCGTTCCTGTTCTTCTATATACATATATTTTTTTTATCGTTGTACTTCTTTACCTCTTCATAACACGAATTCGCTGCTCGCCTTAATGACTGAGGTTCACACGTACACCAAGATTTTCCATTCAAATCGATGATAACCCAAAACTAATCAATCCGAATCCATTCTTAATCACTCTCAATAGGTTCGTAAACTTTATAATTGTATATTTTACAATTCTTTACGAATTATTTAAAACAATTAAAGTTATCATCGATTTCTCGCTAATTACAAGCAAACGTATGACGCAATTTCACAGCGATTTTAACCACATTTAAATACATTTTGCAATCCGGATAATAAAACAAACTTGAAACGCTCGGAATTCGCAAGGTCTCGGTGATACGAAGAATTGAAAGAAACGTTTTTGCCCTAGATTGTTGTTAACGTATGTGGTGCCTGCCGCAGATAGCGAAAGCATTCCCAATATGTATGATTTATAATGTTTCTATTCTCCCGCTCCAATTTTTATTTTACTTTTCTTTAATTCTGCAATTGTTGTTTATACCGACTCAGTCGAGTGACTCGAAACAACGTTGTCGTCTTCTATTCTTTTCACGGTAGGTGAGTGAGCGACTCGTTGTTTGATTATAAACGTTTGGTGTTTAATTATCTTTGTTAACATAATTTCAAGAACATTAACACATCCACATTTTCATTTTATCTATAGAAGATACACGAATCAAAACAACATTCTAATTAGTAAATTAAACAATTAACTTGATTGTAATCATAATTTCGGTGAAGAACATTAACAAATCCAGTTTATTGATTTTTGTAGGATTTTTTGTATATTATATATATATACTAAATCAATAATGTTAATTCATTCGATGAGGAATATACAGTCGTTAAATGGATAAGTGTGATGATCCTGGCGCTGTCGCTGCACGAGCCTTCAATTATCACACTTTATGTACATAAGTGTAAATCGATCGGCGCAATCCGGAATCGGTTTCCTCGCGAATTACCGCAATAAATTGTAGTTAAATTGTCGTTTCGCAATCAATGGATCAATGAATGAATTAAACGTGTTTTTTTCAAAACCATTCCCAATTTCATTTTAAAACTTAATTAAAGGTCAAATTTAACAAATTATCGCTTACCCATCGCGTTCGTAGCGATGGGATAATTGCGGCTGGTCTCGAGCAAGGACGAGGAAGAGGCTTCACTTCTTCTTCTCTTGCTAACTGTACTAAAACTAATGCAGACAGCCTTCGTCGTGTCGGCCTTGGCTCAAGCGGAGGCGCCTTTTTCTCTTTGTCCATCGAAAAATTCGCAACAACGCGGCGCGTGTGAATGGAAATTTGCACAAAGTTTTCCAACGTAAAACCCATCGATTTTCGTAAATCTCAAATGATGAGCAATTGCAAAGTGCTTAAAATGTACGTGTGACCATCCATGTCTGTTGAGGATGAGAGCATCCTCCGCTTCAGCCGAGAGAAGTCCATTAGCAATAAATACGTTTCAATAATCATTAAGGAATACTCGGAAAGAAGAGAGGCTTTTTCACCTTCCACGAATCCACTCGCGCGCCGCTACCACTTTATTTTTCCTTCTTTGATTTGTTTGCATCTTGTTGCAAACGATAGTAAAAATTAACAAACGAATACTCATTACGATGCGTCATTGTTTATCTCCATTCATTTAAAACGTTTCTTCTTTTTTTTTCTAATGAATTGGTTAATTAATCCTCTGACTAATTGTTTATGCACTTACGATTCTTCGCTAGTTAAACCGAGATAAACAAATTTCATCATTTAAAAATGTTAATTTTGTAGACAACGATAATCCTCGATAAGCAGATTTAACTTTAATCTAGAGTCGATATAAATATTGATGCAAATTCACTGAACCGTACGTGTAGTAGTCCTTAAATTAATTCATATAATCAACTCACATTGTAAGTTGAAATTCTCAAATGATTATTAGAATTGTCGAGATATTATTAAATCGTAATGAGCAGTTAAATTCGACTAGATTACCTGCAATTTGGTTTCCATAAAATGTTAATAATTTCCCAGGTGTATCGTTATACCTGATTTCGTAAGAACCGAGTTTCTATGGAAAACCTTTTTTTTTTGTTCATAGAAATTGCACATTACTTTATTTTTCCTTCTATATAGACGGCTGCGAGAGCTTTCAAGAGAGAAGCAGAAATGTGGATTAAATTAATTAGAGAGAAACCGTAGAAATATTCCTAGACTTGATTCTATTTCCACATTATACATATTGGCTCCGTCCAATCGAAATAGAAAGCGGTTTCATAAAAATTTGGCAATACGTTTTAATTTTCAAACGAACGAACGAATGCGGGCTTCAAACAGATAAAATATCGACTTATTTTAAATTAATGGAACAGAATGAAGATGATTGTGTGTTTGTTACTCGGTCCTTGAATAGACGAAAACCCATCACTTTTACGTCCGTTTAATCATTGCTAATATAATTGTTTACAAATTGACCTTGCGGTTCGAAGGTGCTTTGGAGCTGCTGTCACGTTTATTAACAGCAATTGTTTCTATATTCATCCGCGGATCATCGTCCTCGATCTGTTTGAAGGAAGAACGTATGTATGATGCATAATATACACGAGAAACGAACAAATGAAGCAAATGAAAAAGTGGTCGAAGTGGAAATAGGTGCACGCACGAAGGCGATATTAATAATGCGGTCGTACGTAATGCACTTGCAATTAGTTACCGTTGCCGATATTTTGTCATAGGATAATTACGAATGCGGAGGTTTAACGAGAGATATATATATATATATATATATATATATATAGAGAGAGAGAGAGAGAGAGAGAGAGAGAGAGCAAGAATGATGGAGAATACTCACTTATACTCTGGATGCCGCCGGTTCGACGAACCAGATCCATAATGGATCGACTCCGAAAGCGATCTCTCATCTTAACGATCGCCAGACGCCGTCGCACCAGCAGCAGCAGCAGCATCCCATTTCCAATGTTTCGCGTTTACATAGAGCTTAACTGCAGTGCCGTTGCGAACGCTGTCACCCCTTGATTAATCATCGCCATTTCCAAGTTTTTTTTTCTCCTGAAAAATAATAAAATATTGAAAACTTCAGCAACCGACGTTAAACGTTTGTTAAATAGGATTAATTTTCGGTTACCGTAGAAACCATCATTTGCTGAGTCTTTAATCGAACGTTAAGGATTCGTTAAGCGTCCGTTTTAAATCGATTAAATTACAATTAAGTTCATCTCGATCGAGTAGTCGTTAGTCTCATTAGCTAGTCTCGAGTGCGCGTTTCAAAAGTAATAGGGACTTCATTTCATTTAACACATCTTCAGTAGATGAAATAATTCTGTCGATTTAAGTTGATTTTTTTTAATGTGGGTCAAAGACGATTGCTTGCAATTGGGTAATTAAATTTAGAAATTTATGAAATGAAAATCATTGCCACCAATTAATGTCTGGATTGAATTTATCGCTATTATATTGTTGTTAGGTGTAATTGAAGTTTGGGCGGAATTGAAGAAGGAGAATGTTCAGGGAACGACCATAATCTGCGACTATTATATTAGTCTTAAAAGGTCCATAAAGTGTCTTTGTTTCCTTTCCGCGACCAATTATGAACGGTTTTTTTTTGTGTGCTTCTTCCTCCTTTGTTGTTGTTGTTCGCTGCTTGTTCCTCTGTTTATGGCATGTTAAAACGGCGAATTAACGAGTGAATAAAATTTAATTGTAAACTGCGAATGTTTTGCATTAGCGGTGTCGTTTTATTTGCACGTTGCGATAAGTCTGATTATAACTAACGCTTGCTCGTTCGTTCGTTCGTTCGTTCATTCGTTAACTCACTCTCTTTCTTTCTTTCGACTGTTTCAGATGTTGAACATGCTCGTGCTTTTGTCGCGGGTAGAAGGTTTGTCACGTTTATGATTTGTGATGTGGAGGATTTCTCGGCACTATTTGCACGTTAGACCGCCCGGCCGCAAGAAATAGTCGCAGCGCTTCGCAAAAAGGGAATCCCAGGAGAGATCCATCAAACATCGATCATCATCAAATCATCCGCAGCAACAGGATCAGTAGACTTCGAAGTGCGTAGCAAGAAATCGGTCGATGACATGGCTAATCGACGCAATTTGGTCATCAAGTGTTGCCTCGTCGCCGTCAGCGTTTACCTCTGCGTCTACATGATCTCCAGCAATCAGAGCGCGAACATCATCAGAGGTCTGCAGCAGTCGGGAAGGAATCTGGCCGCTCTTGATCTCGAGACGGAGACGGTGCAGCAACAGCAGCAGCTGCAACAGGAGCAGATCAAGGATGTAGATGTGGTTAAGACGGTCGAGGAGCTGCAACAGCAGCAGCAAGTCAAGGTGGTGACGGAGGCGACGACGGTCGTGATGGACCCGCTCGAAAGGGTGCGCGAGATCACCAGGTGTCTGGACAGGACGTCGGTGCCGAGGACGCAACAGCGCGGCGACTACTGGGTACTCTACAATTACGTCAAGGCGGAGAGGACCTTCAGGTGCCACGAGAGCATCACCTACACGACTCACGCAGATTATACGTTCATGGATAACCTGGTGCCGCTGATCGAACGCTGGAGGGGTCCGGTCAGTATCGCCCTGCACGCTCCGGGCACCGATTTCCGGAACACCATGGACACCATCGCCTACCTGAGGGATTGCACCACTCCCCTCGTCAAGGAGTACGTCACTTTCCACGTCTACTTCAGTACAAGACATGTGCCAAAAGAGGTAAATATACAATTTCAATTATTCAATAATCAAGTCACCCTCTTGTTTCCATGGTAATTTTAACAAAAAAAAAAAGATATATAATTAATGTAAAATGTTTAAAACTAAATTAATAATGCAGCAAAGTCAAATTCAAGTTCATTGGTAAACTTGAAAAGTGAAAAGAACGTTAAGTAATAAAATGTTTTTGGTCCGGCTAATGCGAACGGCTTCGGCCTAAATAATAATACGATGTCGCAACATTGGCATCAAACAAATGCCAAGGGTTAATTTTGGATCGGAGTGTCAGTAGTAAAAGCCCGACAGCCCGACAGATTATTAAAACGTTATTTTTACGCGCAGCATTCGCGTTTCAACGAAAACAATGGAGATATATGATGATGATTGAATTATTTTTTTGGATTAACTGTAATATGAATGACGCTAAAATAAAGTGTTACGCGATAAATATGCATGAGACACGAATCTCGATATATATATATATATAAATCATCTTCGATGTTCTATAGTAGTAGTATTAGTAGTAGTGGTAGTAGTAGAAGACTTCAACGGGGTCAAATAAGAAAGTCAAATCGTTGCTATCCTAGCTAGTAACTAGGCAACAACAACAATTCTCGTCCGCAGCGACTATGCACGTATATGTCTGTATCTAACTATATATCCGTGCCCATCGCACCTCTGACAAAAGGTCCTTTTGCAACTTCGCAAACAAAATAAACCAGTTTCCTAAACTCTACTTTATCTAATACTTTTACAATTAAAAAGAATCTAATTACCTAATTATTGTTAAATTAATTTCGTATTTTTTTTATTTCTTTTGTCACACGTGTAGCGGGTGGGTTTTGTTATATGAACCGTTCTTGTTTCCCCATGTTGCTTTTAAATAATTAATTTACGCATATATACTTGATTGATGATCATTTTATTGTCGATGCGCGCGTATGGTAACAGCGACCTATATAAAAAGAAAACAACCCCCCTTGTGAAGCAATTTACGAACGAACGAACAAACACTGTAAACAGTACGATTAATAATTGATTTGTGATATGACCTCTATTGATCGATTGAAAAACAATGTCGCCTCGTGCGACTGATTTATGCACGAAATCAATACGGATATCATCAATACGCGGATTTGAAAAATTAAACAAAAAATAAAACAAACATAAATAAAGATTTCCACTCGATTCCAGTTGTTTGTTTGCTTTATCGTTAGCATCGTTTTACTGTTCAATTGTTTTAACGTTAAGTCAAAAAGGAAAAGTTCGTCCTTGCAGAAGCTCAATATCCTTCGGCGAACGAAACTTGGGGAGGTTTTGTTTGTTTGTTTGTTGCTGTTAAGTTAAGTTCAAAACAACAAGAGCAGCGTGCACGTAAATTCCTTCGAGGTACACAGAAAAGCGTTCCCGATGAATTTCAACGAGTCTACGCAGCCTGCGTATAAATCACCAGAAAACCTCCGCGTTTCCCGGAAAATGCATAATTCATGATAAACGCGATTCGATATAAATTAGCACTTCGCACTTGTTCTTTCTGTTCATTCTTTTCCCATTAATTGCAAATGCTACACAACAATGTCGTCGTCCGATGCATTAGCATTGGGAAAAGTTGCTAACCTTTATGTAGTTTGCAACGAAGTGTAACAATCCGCGTTACGCAACGACAGACCTCTTCCAGCTCGGTTATTATTATTATTATTATTATATCTTAGAAGAGAAGACGAAATTCTTCGAGATGAAAGCCAATTCAGTTTCATCACAACACAAAAAAAGGACGATCCTCCTCTCGTTGCGGCGATTTCTAGTGCACACTTTCGGATTTTCATTTCCTTATTGCCTCCGAGATGGTCTTCATCATGTCTCACTCACCGGAGGCAAATAACTACAAAATTAAAGAAGAAGAAGAAGAAGAAAGGAAAAAAAGAAGTAATGATTGCAAATCGCAATTCGTAATACTATTACTGATTGGTTTCGCCGATTTTGTAGGAATGAGCTGTAATTGCAAACGAAAAAATGTGCACAATCGAGTCTTATATTACCTAATAATAATAATAATATGCTCAATAGAAAAAGTAACGCGATGAACCAACATGGATAATGATAATGTTAAACAGAAATATGTTACAAGGTTTTTCAACTATTTTCATCCATTTCGCTTTTAGCTCTGTAACCGTTACTACAAAAACGAAAATAAATAATAATAATCGATGTTCCGCTTTGATTGTAATCCGGATGTTGTCGGTTGGAGGAGGAGGCCGATATTAAATCGATACGAGCCGCGCTGCTGCACTGTCGCAAAATGCAGCCAATTGCGAGGCCGTCCGCAAATTGCCAACGAAATTATTATTATTATTATGGAACGAACAAATGAAGAAACGAAAAAAAGAGGAAATGAATATTAGACTACGACCGAGTGCAGATTTACTCGGAATTTGAGTTTGCACCTCTCTACGTTGTATAGTAAAGTCGTGTAATTAGGGATGGGAAAATGCGCAACGCTCGGCAACAGAATTCGGTCACGAAATGCGGAATTATTACTTACACTACTTATCAACGTTTCCCAGACTGTGTTGTGTTATTACCGATGTGCAAAAGAAGTGAACAACAACAAAAAAAGAAGAAGAATTTAAAATGAAATGTGTGTGTGTGCAACCAGAAGAGAAATCGCAGGATGTACTTTCATTGCCTTTTGAGCCTTCATCTATCCTAATGATACATCTTAATTATTAAAACTAGTAACAAAAATATTGTATACCATAAGATGAATCTGTGTATTGTCTCTATAAAGACAAGACAAGTTGTGCTTGTTAGATTTCAAAACGAAAAACTATTCTAAATTTCAAGCGAGTACCATGATCGTTGCAAAGCAGAGTCGTTCGTCAACGTGAAAGGCTCGCTCTACTCGATTTCAAAAGTCGCATTTTGCAATCGGCGGTAATCATCACAGTATCCCGTTGAAACAAAGGAAATTTACAGCACTGTAGAAAAAGAGATACGCCCTAATCTTGCTTACACGACTGTAAATCCGCGTGGAAAAATAAGTGCGGCAATAAAAATCGAGATAAACTAAAACTGGCCATTTGTTTTCAGGAAATTATTACCTGAGCTGAACACGTAGATTTACTTAATTATTACACAACTGATAATAATATCTTATTATTATTAATATTATTTGAGCTGTAAATGTTTTTACGTTAATGATTATATACTTATTTTGCATATGTGATATGCATATATAATTCGAGATAAATGTGAAAATTTAAAAACGGTACTTATTAGAAAGTTTCATTTTTCAAATTTGCAACTACTTTGAGAGTGTAAACGGCTTAATCTCGCAGTTTCAGCTTCAATATGCATTTTCAATATACACTGTACGTCTGTCAAGTATTCAAGAGAAATGGTAAAGAATGTGAAGGTACAGCTTTTTCGGAGCTAGAAATTTAATAATGTGAATTGATTGCGGCTCGTATCTGCGGTTTTGCTACCTAATCTATAATAATACTTCCGGAGCTGAACTGCGTTACAAAAAGATACATTTACGCTGGGTCTGCGGTTGAACACTAATACTCTTACTGCAATAATAACCATTTCGTTCGTTGCTGTTGCTGCTGCTGCTTTCGTTTTCAAGTTTACATTGCATATCCGACCGATTAAATAATAATAAAACCGCGCGGTTTTGCCACCGATCGAAATCTTCGGCATGGATTATTTATGGAAAATGCATTGTTCAATCGACGTTAATCGAAACGTATACGCCGTGCACGGAAATGCGTTTTCAATTCCACGATCACGTCGACGTCCCATGTCCAAATATTGACTCTGGCTCAGCTTTTCCTATTCTCTTTTTTTTTTCTCTTTATCTTTATAAGCGACTCCGATGAACGGGGAATTCGCCGGTCGGAAATACCTTTTACAGCGAAGGAGATCCCTCGACCTGACCGCTGCCATCGCCATCCTCGGACAGGTTTTTTGTGTCCAGTTTTGTTTGCTTCTGCAGGCCGCCTCTCTGCCTGTCTGCCTGTCCTCACCCAAAAATTCCCAACAGTCTGCGCGCTCTTCGACGAACTGATTTTCTCCCAAAATTATACCTCCCCTAAAAAACAAAAACAAAAAGAAGTCAATAATAAATTATAACAGATAATTATCGCAATTGCACGTTGGAAAAGCGTGTAATTTCGTCGGGATACTAAGAATGCATTAGCGTAGTAGGCCGTCCGTCTCCATTGCTTTGTAATCATGAAAGGTTTATCGATTGTTTTATCCAGTAATTACATCGAAATACTCAACGACAGTTCGATAACAAAATCAGCGTTTTAGCATGCTCGAACTTCTTCGAAAAATAATGAAATTCATTCGGTCGCGTACGATAATAACGCTGCGATAATAGATGCAGCGCATTTCGCAAAGACGATAAACATAAAACATATGGCATTATTGCGTACGTACAATAAAACATTAGGCGCGTTACCATGGTGAATATACATAGAAACCATTTCGTGGAAGCAATTGTCTTAGGCAGATGCAACTAAGATAAATCCGCGTGGCTGTGTGTGTGGAGAAACTTTAATGACATTTCGCGAAAACTTGATCTGTTATGGAGCGCAACATTAAAGAAAACAACGATTGTAGGTAGACGCTTTCATTTGAAATGTTTCATTAGAGTCGTTAGCGAATTCGCAAAGTCAAGTAATCAAAAGTCGAGTTTGACCTTAACTCCTGAGTAAATGTTGCAACAAGGTTACTTCGGACGCAGGCAGAATCAAAGGTTGTCTTCGATCTAAAGAGCAAAGATCGAAGTAATGAAAACACAAGAAGAAGAAGAAGAAGAGATACATTTATTTGTATTTCCGATTATCGACGCAACTCATAATATTAATTTTAATTAATAAAAATGTGTAAACAAAATATTTGTATAAAGAAAAACAACTGGTTTATAGATATTAAATTAATCTTGGAAATAAGAAAGGAGGATATATAAATACAACTTCATCAGATTTTATGGAGATAATGAGATGTTGATGGATGGATGGATAAAATGTTGATAAAAAATACTTATAAACGTTTGTTGTCTCGTCATTTTCAATCTATTCTAAATGAACAATCTTTAAATTAATAAACTTTTATAACAATCATCCTAGAGAAAATAAAGATTAGCAATTATAGCTTTTAGTATCTGTATTATTTGGACTATCAGTGGGAGTATCATACAAGCAAATATTCAAATGAATGGTAATAAATTTAGGGGAGAATTTATAGTATTCACATACCGTATACCACCGTATCGGTGATATCTCGAGAGATTTTTTTTTTATATTTACATTGTGTTACGTTCTGCTATTGTGAACGTAACATGCAACGTATGTTTCAGTTTCATTGACCTCGTGATAAGACTTAAATCAATGAATTATAGTAGCAAATTAATTCCTACTAATTTAGGTGTAATTTGGAAATACTTTTAAATCAATCAAATAATGATTAATAATTATTATTAGATAGTAATTTTTAACAGATCAAGAGTAGTCCTTTAGGGAATGTTTTCTGAGTACTTGGACACTCCCAACATTGTTGAATGTTTGATTCTTGTTCTCGCATTCTCGGTTTGTGTGTCAGTCAGGTCGAATTGTGCACTTTGGCTGTTCGAGAGAATGCGGCGTGAGTGCTGCAGCAGCAGCAGCAGTTGCCGAAGAATTTAATTTAGGGGGCGTTTGATGTCTACTGTAATTTGATTATCGTTTGTGTAATTTGTGTGCAGGTTCCTCGTCACAATCGAGTGTTCGGCGAGGCGTTCAACTGTTCACTGCCGGCGCCGTATGCGAATGCCAGCAGCGACCAGATGTACAAGACGCTGAAGAAGCTGCTGTACCCGGTGAACGTGGGCAGAAATGTGGCCCGCGAAACGGCCCAGACGCACTTCATCCTCGCCTCGGACATCGAGCTCTATCCTAGTCCCAACGTGATACCGCAGTTCCTAGAGATGATCGCCGAGAATAAGGGTCCATTGCTGAGCAGCAGGCCCAAGCTATACCCCTTCAACCTGTTCGAAATTAGCGCCACGCAATCGGTGCCGGACAACAAGACGGCGCTGAAGGATATGATCCTCAACGGTACGGCGCAACCTTTCCACAAGAAGCTGTGCTCCGGGTGCCACGGGACGCCGATGAGCAAGGAGTGGATGGTCGCCAACGAGACTAAAGGTCTGCACGTGTTCCACGTGGGCAAACGCACCGGCAAATTCATCCACTGGGAGCCCATCTTCATCGGCACACACGCCGAGCCCCTTTACGACGAGAGGCTCAGCTGGGAAGGGAAAAGTGATAAAATGACTCAGGTAAACCGACTTTTATCTAATCGCTAACACTCTTTTTTCTGGTAAATTCTACCTTATACATTCTCATAGTACGAGAGATAATAATATTGTATTTCAATAATAGAAATCTAACAAATATGTTTGATTAACTAGGCCGAGGCATAGTCGATAACCATTTGCTAGTGCAAATGGATAAGTATTCAAATACCGTTTATCTATTTTGATTTTTCCAAAAATGTATGCAAATTAAAACCAGTATTATTTGTAATAAAAAAAAGTAATATAATTCAAGGCGAATAAAATTAATGCTTTGCATAAGACGTTAAAGTCGAATTTGAATAATTGTAATTTAAACATTACATTTATTCATGTTAAATTAAGACAAGCTGAAAGAAATTTTTATAGTGAAATACAATTTGTCGTTCATCTCGTCTTACGACAAAATAAATGTAAATAAAAACTGTCATTATTCCGCATTTCTATTCAATTGTAATAACAAAAGTAATATAATTCAAGGCTATTTTCGCTATAAAATAAATGCTTTAATGTCAAAGTGGAATGATTGTAATCTTGAAAACATTCCAATGTTTTCAAGATGTTTTTTAAACATTTTCAAACTATCAGTTTAGTAAATAATAATTTCGGATTTAAATTATTGCGTACTGGTACTTGTAAACAAAACGGATCAGGGTTGTTGGAAAACAACGTCCTTTTGTGACTTTGCTTAACTGGAATGTTCTTCCACTGCTTAATGCACAACAAGTATACTGAACCGAGCGACGACGACAGTGCTAATTGGGAAAACCGGTAATTGGACAAACACCGAGAAACTAAAACCGTCGTAGAGGCGACGATCATCGCACCAATGCATGTGGGGATATATACATAAAGGACGTACCATCACCACCACCAGCAGCAGCATCATTGTCGTCGTCTTTCGAGATAAAAGGATACGCCCGTGGAGAGATAAAAGGGATACGCCTGCGACTCGCCAAATTAAGAGGAAGTCTGCCCTCATTCGATTCCCGCAGCTAATAAAAGCGAGACGGAAATGAGGAGGATTTAATTTGCGAATTTACGCATTCGAAATTGGTGCCGAAAGTCGACCATCCGCGAAGAGAGGATCGAGAGAAGAAGAAGAACAAAAAAATAAATAAATAGGGATACGCGCGCATCTGGCTTTCGCGTTAATTATAGACGGATGATGATGATTCTGCTTGGAAATTGCGCGCGTTCGCGTAATGTAGGCGAGCCGATAGGACAGAATCCGATTTGCGCACCTACGAGATTTAACGGTGAATGCGTTTTCTAAAATGGTAATTAGTCGACGTCGGTTTTCCCATGGCCGAATTCTGGTACTATCCCAACTTTGCAGAACCGGAAGCGCCTGCATGCATACGCAATTAATGTTTATACACAACATTTGCATACGTTTTGATGATCATTGCCAATGTTTCGTTTCGTCCGTTGATCGCCGCATGCTCATCCTGTAAATATTTATGGACCACATTCGTTATATCCGATCGCATTCCATAAACAATATACAACGCTGACACGATTAAGAATTATTGCAAATAGCGTCGCTCCCAATATTACCACTAGTTGCCCAATTACTCGGTACTGATTTCAGCTAATAGCATCGCATTAAGCAGTAATAACAATGATGATCATAAACCACTAATAATAATAAACGGTACACAGCAGTTTAATTAATCGTTTCAATTATATAGAAATAGCAAATCGTGATCATGGACAATTTTATGAAAGCGATGAAATGAATCATAGTTAACTTTTGTTAAAATAATTGAACATAAATTCAACAACCAAAAAAATATTACTTATTACATGATCATATCTGAAAAGATTTTACTGCTCAACCCTTTAACTATCGACAGTAAACGACATGAAACTTATAAACTGTTCCTACAAAATATAACATTTTTTTCAGTTTATACAGCCGGTTTAGTGAACATATTTCTAGATACTAAATCATAATGCATAGTGTTTAAATTTTGCCAATTTAACAAGTTGCATGGACATTTTACGGCCACAATTATCAGACTTTACGCATTAACGCGAAAATTAATGACTCCCTGATAGCCGTTCTACACGTTTAATTGCGAGAACTCGGGAAAAATATTCGCTGCACGTGCTCGACGACTTCTTTCTTTATGTGCGGAAGTTGTAAACTTATCAGATCGAAATAGCATAATGCAATTATACGGGCGTAATAAAACGAAATACTAAACCTTGATAGCAGCAGCTTCCACCAAAATGTACTTTTCATCAAAGTTATCAAGTCGACTCGTTTCAGCGTAACCTCCTTAAATGCGTTACAATTAAATATAAATATTAATGGAACAGTATATTATGCAGTACGTACCAATTATTTGTAATTTTTTTTGTATTCACTTTGGTTGTAATTATTGAGTTGTCAAAATTGTTTATCATTTACAAAAGAGTAACGCTTTTCAAATAATTATGTAAGCCTTGGAGGCATATTTACCAACTTAAATTGTTCATGTAACTAACATTTCTTGTCAAATGATGGATGAGAAGTATGTAACTGCTTGGCTCTGTTTATTTACAAGTAATTTTAAGGGTGATATTATATAAATGCAATGCATATTATATTAGTGTGTATGTGTAACAAATAATTGAATGAATGAAACACGGATGAATTTCAGCAACAGCGCTTTCGAAATCGAAATGTAGTTGCGTTGCCATAGAGACGACAGCTATTGGAAAATATCCCCCCGATGGCACTGACAATTCCAAATAGGCGAACGGGGGGCCACAATCGATATACATATGCATGGATGAAAAATATGTGTACGCACATGTCTAGTAGACCCGGCGCCTCCACCAAGAATAAGAGAAAAACAAGAAGAGAAATAAGAAGAAGCGGCGTCAACAACAACAACAACAAAAGACGAACTCCATGCCAAAATCGATAACAAGACGCAGCGCCGCCTATTTTTTTACATGTTTTTTTTTATACTGGTGTTCTATTTCTTTGCAGGGATACGCGCTGTGCGTGCTGGACTACGATTTCCTGATCCTGGACAACGCGTTCCTCGTCCACAAGCCCGGCATCAAGGTGTACAAGAAGGACCCGAAGAGGGCAGCGCTCGCCGCCAAGACCAATCAGCTGATCAAGAAGATCATCTTCCCCGAGCTGAAGGTCATCTACGGCGTGAAGAAGGGCTGCGCCGTATAAGCTTTTACCGACTACGAAACTCACACACACACACACACACACTCAGCACTCAGTTGTATAATCATCGCCCGTTTGTTTTGTGATCGTGCGATTGAGATGAACTCTGATCGATCTTACTTACTTACTTACACTCGTTTCCTTTCAATTTAAGTTTAAGTAGATTTACGTATTAGTACCCGTTCCCTTCTTATGATTTGCTCAACATAAAAAGAAAAGAAAAACGGATATTTATTGTTTTAAGTGAGAAACGACAATCGATTGATTTGATCATTTATTTATATAATGTATTTTATTATTATTTTAGTTTGTGTTAGTGAACTACGTGTACATACAACTACAATTAGATTTTATTATTTTGTTTGTTTTTTTTTTTGGCCATAATCGATTCATCGTCGTTTGTATACAATTTTAGCGAAAAAGAATGTGATAAATAATATATATTTAGTTATTATTATTATTATTTTTCGAGTATTCGCTTACGTGTATATTGAGTGGACTTTTTGCGGAGATGAGTTAATTATTATTATTATTGGTTTTTCGAATGATGAGTAAATGGACGTCCTTCTACTTAAAGAAATCAAGTTAACATGAAAAATAAGAAGAAGAAGAAGAAAAAAAAACAATAGAAGTACTTATGTTTCATTTTTGTTTTCTTTTAGATTATCCTATACGTGTATAGAGTTATTTCTGTTTGCGTAGACTCAATTGAGACGTGTCCTTCTTATACTTTTCGTTCGACTATTTAACAATATAGTTGATGTGCCTTACTCACATGGTGATTATATGATATGAAATATTACTTTTGTACTGTTATACATAAAGAAAAAAAAAACAAAACAAATATAATCTGTATCTATATATATATATTATATATTACAAGAAGAAAAGTATATATTATAAAAAACAAAAAAAGAGCATATATATATATTATACATATAATTCAATATACAAAATACAGAGAAGTGTATGAAATTTTAATTTTACAGCTGCGTTTCATTTCCATCCACCCTCGAAACTTTCACAAACAGAATCGATGAGCTTTGCATATATTTATCTAATTAATAGGAGTTCAATCGATTATCCATAATGTCTTATGTCCGAACTCGCACGTTTCCGATTCGATGCAGTTTTAATGAACGGCCACGTGTACCGCATCTAAAATTCTATCAAAATTGCATAACTACTCGATTCTCTTTCATCCTTTTTGTTTTTGTTTTTTTGTTTCTTTTGTTTTGTTTCGTTATCCCGCCCACATCCGCCGTCCATAACCCGATTACCCAAATGATTAAAGTCACTCATGGACGTCACTCGTATCCTTTTGATATTTGGAGTTTTTTTTTTGTTGTTGTTGTTGTCAAACGAAAACTGTTTGAAACGTGGGTGAACTTTTTATCGTGTTTGACAGTAAATTACATGAACATCAAGAGAGTTAGTTCTCTAAATACTTCAATTTACGTTTTCAATCTTATTTCAATGGTGGTTATTGAAAAAATTGCTTCAATGATGACAAGAAATCCAGAAGAAGTACAATTATTCCCATTAATACATTTAAAATCCTTTAATTCTCCATCGTCCTAACGATGTTTAACATGTGCATTTGCTGTAAACGTAAACATTGTATTTCTGTCGCATTTATAAAAGTAACTTGGAAGTTCGCACGTTGTTTGTGCGTTCAATTGGCATTGAGGACATGCAGATTAAGTCCAGACGCATAAAGCAAACTTTGATGTATTTGAGTGTGTGTATACAAGCAGTAGGAAGGAATGGCAAGCATATTGAAATCCAATCATGGTATGTAAATTAGATTCGCGATATCCACAAGACGGAAAACTCCGATCGACACAATTTCCTCCAACGACGACGCCGAAGTGTTTTCCACCGCACGCCCGAAAGAAAAATCGTTAAAAGTGAGGCGGAATATACAAAAAAAAAATAAAATAAATTAGTTGGTCTACAACCAAATCTTCAATTCATTACTAACATTTTCATCAAATTAATTGTTGTTTGTGTAATTGCAAATTTTACATTTACAAAAAAAAGAAAACGTATAAATTGCGTGAAATATGTGAACTTAACATTTGCTTCGTGCTGAAATTATGCGATTAATGTGATACGAGTGGGAGATCTTCGTGGAGGCACGTCTGGAACATTAACGGATACGTTTTTAGGTCATCGATTTTCGTCCTACGGATGAAACGTTGAGAGGAAATGTGCGAACGAGTGGACGTAAAAGAGAGAGAGAGAGGGGAAGGGTGAAATGCGTTTTCGAAGCGAAATTCTGCATCCACCTTCGTTCGCGGCGGGGTTTTAATTAAAGCCAAGTAACTGCTTTGATCCGTGCATTATAATTGCTTGAATACACCCTCCCCTTCCAATTCATATCGAACACTTAAGCTAAATAATCTAATTAGAAGCTTAAACGTCATCTGTGAATGTCACTTTTGACGTTAGATAGTAGATTAAAAGTCCAAGCCTACTTGGACAACATATATGACAACAATCGTCTTAACTTGCATATTCATATTGAAGACTTAAGCTAAATAATTTAACTAGATTGACAAACTGAAATATATCAATTCTTTTTCGAAGCGTCATCGGATTTGACGTTAATAGATTAATTTTTAAATATACAAACAAGTAGACTTCCATCTTTAAGAATTTGACATTTGTTAAAATTGTTTTAATATGTTTTAATATGCAGATTCAAGAGTTTTTGAGACATTTGTTGAAATGCAAAAGACTAAGCAATTTGATAAAATGTAATGATGTAATTTTTACTGGTTATAAAATTATGCAAGAAATTTGATTCGAAATTGAAAACTTCAAAAAAAGAAGAAAAGCAGTTTACCTAATCGGATTCTGTAATGCTGCTATAAGAGAGAGAGAGAGAAAGAGACATAATAGGATCTTCGTTTGAACTTTTGATATTCAATGAAGAATGCAGACTTTCTAAACGCCGGTAGCGTGATTTCCGATTGTTTCGAATCGAAAAACAATCGAAATTTTTCTCAACATTAACTAATTAGTTAACGTCGCACAAAATCCATTTACATTCCGTTAAAGTGATTAAAAATAATAATAAAAACAACAAGTGAATGAATGTACAAAACGAAAACATTCCACTGCGTAAAGCAATCAATTACACCTATGAAATTTAATCGATTGCGATTGTTCGTTCGGCTGAAATTCTCGAATTTGCGTTCGTTCGGATGGAAAATAAAATGGGATAGAATCCGAGTAGGTGTCTGGCCAATTCAATTGTTCATTGTTCGTCTTCCATTCATTCATTCATTGCGACCGACGATTCAGCGATCCACAGATAAATTGAGGATGAACGTAGAAGATATTTGTAAGTGAATAAGGACGAAGTAACACCGTCTGACATTGAAGACGTTTCGAGGAAGCAAATTTGTGAGTCATTAAAGCACTCATTGAAGTTTTCACAGAAACGTCAACTGCAAATGTCAGATTTGACATTAGTAGATTTGTAAATTTGACGTTTGTTGAAATTGATTAATAACAAAAAAAAAACAACAATCATCTTGACAACAAATGCGTACGAATCTTATGAAGTATATAGAACACAGGAATGAGAATCGACATCTCTTTTTGTGAGTGCGTCGAGTGTCGTCATCTCTTCAAATAGTTGTAAATATTTCATGGATTTTAAGTTCTTGTCATCGGGAGAAGTTCAAAGGATTTCTGAAATGCGGATACGGTCATATTTTATGACATTAAAACCGGTAGATCAAAAGATTAGGAACGTATTCGAAATACTAAATAATGAGCTCATCCACCTTTTTCTTTATTTTCTTATGCGTACAAATCTCTTTGTTGCAGATTTATCTTCACGAAGAAAGGGGTTTTTCTCTCTATTTGTTGACAAAAACTGATGGATGGATGCTGGAATTCTGATAATTTGCATAATATCTGATGGTTCGGAGAGAGAGTGTGTCTGTGTGTGCAACGCGAGTTTGGTACGTTTACAATTATGTAATGCCGCGACAGAACGTGTATGTGCATATGCGTATGTGTGTGTGTGTTGGATATTGGTGGAGACGATTTTATGGAAACGAAGAAGACCTTGGTTTTTAATAAACGAGCTGTGCGGGATTGGTAAAAGATGCTCATTCTAGTGTCAGCAATCGTGCCATAAAGAATCACCGATGGCCAATTTCAGTATGTCCAATTACTTTCTGTTAGCCGTTGCGGCTCTTCTAGTTACACAAGGTAAGACTCGTCTTCAGTTCTACGATATTTAAACATTTTTCTTCTTTACTATTTACTTATTCAATTTTAACTATTCATTTGTACAAAATATCAACGTTTTCTGCTGCATTTCGTGCAATTCTCGTTCAACTCCTATCAACAAATGTCAATTTGACGTATTTTGTTTCTAATTCATTTATTTTAAATAATCATATTTTGTTTTTTTTTTTCGTATTCACATTTTTTCATTCAAATTCTCATGGAAATCATCTTAGAAATGTCCTAATCTGATAGAAATCCTACATAAATCAAATGTTTGACATTTTAAAAATTTAATTATAACTCGTCATATTTTTGCATCGCCCACTAAATTCTATAATATTATGAAACAGTTTAGAACAAAACTACGATACAAAATTAAGACTTGACGTATCCAAATATTCTGAAAGTGAATTATTAACGAATATTGATTTTGAGGTTTATCGACAAAAAAATCAATTTTCTTGTTAACAAAGGAAATAACAAATATAAAAACAGTTGAATCTGTCAGTAATGACATAACAAAATGTGAAAGTGTCAAAAAAAAAAATAATGAATGTCAAACATTTCAAGGAACAAATTAATGATTTTACGACAATTTTTTGTTGGAACCGTTCGCATTTTGATGCAACCACTTCCGCTCTGTGCGTTTAAAAATACCGATTACATGTTTCTTTTCTTTTTTTTTGTTGTATGTAGTTACATTTCAGTCGACCGATTCCTAATACAGATACGTTCAATGCTTGTGCATAAAACGCAGCCACATGCTAATGCATTCGTGATTCACAATGCGTGTCGGAGGTGTGTGCATGTCGTCGCGAAGTGTAATTTTCCGATTCTAAATGTAATTGAACGATCATTGATCAATAAGATAAAAAGAATGTGCAGTATATAAATGCGCACATACACAAAGGCGTGCACAATTGAAATTGAATACAATTAGGGTTTAATTGTTTTGCTTACGCAATGCGACACGATTCGTCCTTCTTTTTTTTATTTGACAACCTACTAGACCTTCCCTAAAACAAAATAAAACAAAACACAGTACACAAAAAATAATACTGGTAGTAATTAGTGATATTAAAGTCTATTAATAAATAATTACGCAGAGTGTAAATTATTCAAATCGAAAAGAAAAAAGAAGACATTTTGAACTAACATGTTGTTCATTTGTTAGTTATGCAAATGTGATTAATAAATAATAATAATAATAATAACGAATTTCGTATTCGTCAGGGCACGCTCGAAAACCAAAAATGTCAAGGATAATATACCTCTATAAATAATAATGCAATTAATTAATGCTGTTATGCGATCTTCTTTTTTTTTCTTCTTCTGATCATGCGTGTTTCTATGGAAACATTACGACATCTAGTAGCATCGGTTAATGAGGAATCCAAACAGGTGAAAGTTATTGTGTGTATTTTTTTTTTTTTTTTGGAAAAGGTCGAGCGATAATTCGATTCATATTGGTCTCTCGGCGAACAGAAGAGATGAGACGTGCAGGGTTTCGCAATCCCGAATTATGCATACGTACAGACTGAATCATCCGTTCTCTGTGGTATTATTAGGCCTTCCCCGCTCACAAACTGTGTACTTTTTCGGTATTTATTAGCATAACATTTGCAATCGAAGAATCAATGATATATACTTTACATTAATAAAAATGGATTTTCCCCACATTACTTATATTTCAGCTGAATTATAACATTACAATTGGCAGAATATGTTACTGCACAATAGTAATTAACATATCGACAATCTAATTTATAATAAAACGTTAAAATTACATTTATGATTTACATCATGAACTTTCACATTTGTTGTTACCAACCTTAAATCTCTATTGTTGTCTCTTATTTCATAATTGACAAGAGAAATGTCAAATACGTCAATTTATTTATCAGGATTGCAACATAAATACGAATTAACTGAATATTCTAAACTTACGAAAACTCTAATATCATATTTCTTGTTATTTTTTTTTTGTATGAAATATTTAACCTTTCGTTTGGAATTCTCGATCCTTGAACTTCTTATTAACATTGCTGAACTTCTCATATGGTTCGTGATGTTCCCATATAAATTCTGAACGTTCCATGTAATTCCAGTATTGTATAATTCATGAAGAAACCTCGTCTTTTCTTGTATTCACTCTACATTTATTAAGTAAAATATTTGTTTTTGTTTGTAGCTATCAGCCAGAGAAGATTTAACAATGCAAATTATCAGCAGCAGCAGCAGAAACAGCAACAAAACTTTTACAACAATCCTAGCCCCAATACAGTTTCGAACGTTCACTGTCCCGAGGCTAATGGAACATTTGCGACAAGCACCTGCGATGGGTAAGCTAAGCTGAACGCAGGAAGAAATAAGAAATCTCTATGTGAATGCGTTTAATGTAGATATATCGAGTGCAAGGATGGTGTAGGTGAAGAGAAGTTATGTGCCGATGGTCTTCTGTTCAATCCTGATGTCAGGGGATTCCCCTGTCAATACCCCATCGATGTAGACTGCACCGGACGTACAGGAACTCGTAAGTTAATTATATGAAGAAATTCAATTAAAATAGAAATCATTGTTCTGACACTAGATGAAGTTATCTATTGGAAATATTAGGAATACATTTAGTTTAATTGTAATGTAAATTAAAACATAATTCATAACTTCAGATACGGTTGTTACCAACGTAAATTTCTATTAATTGACAGTTCGATTGGGCTGGATATATTTCAGGGTGACAACTTAAATACGAATGAATTTTCTAAAATGTTTGCAACTTCTATTGCATATTTTTAAATCCATTGAAAGTTGTCTGGATGTTGTAGTTTAATAGTTGGAAATGTAGATTCATTGTGTTCTCTTTTTTTTGGCCAGAACCACCCCAAGCGACTGAGGAATGTCCTCATCAGTACGGTTACTTCGCTCTCGGAGATGCCACCCACTGCGGACAGTTCAAGAATTGCGCTGCCGGTCGTGGATACACCTTCGACTGCCCCGAAGGATTGGCCTTCAATTCGCAGTCGTACAGATGCGATTGGCCCGATCAGGTGCCAGACTGCGACGCCGAAGGTACCGTCCATCTTCCGTTCAATTTGTTCCGCTTCTGTTATTTAATTTGTTTGTTCGTTTGTTTTCGCAGCTTTCTTGGGATTCTCGTGTCCACCGGTCGCGAAGGGATTCCTCAGCGAGGAGTACAGGTACTTCCGGTCGCCGAACGACTGCCAGAGGTACTTCGTGTGCGTGAGCGGAAAACCGCGTATGTACAATTGCGGCGAGGGTCTCGCCTACAACGAGCTGAGCCGCGAGTGCGATGGCATCGAGAACGTTACCGGATGTGCACCAGCTTACAATGCCAACTACGATCAGCAATTGAAGAAACAACAACAACAGCCTTTGCAACAACACAAGCCCCAAGTCTTCAGGGGTTGATCCGACTTTAGTCAATAGATTTTTCAACAATGTTTACTATATAATTTGTTTTGTATAAAACGTTTCTAATAAAATAAAAGAAAACTCTCTTAACGAAAATGTATGCCGACTTACTACTAAACTATAACATTACAATTAACATTCCCACCACAAAACGAGTCTTAATGTTACAAGTATATAAATACAATAGAAGTGGGTATCTAGACAAGTCAATTCACTTAATAGCGCCAATTCATGTATTTCATGATCCACACTGTATGATCGATCGAAAATAATTGCATTAAGTACAGTTATTGCATTTTTTCGTTTATTGGATTACTTTGTTTATTCAAGGATACACATGTTTAATAGTTAGTATGCATCAGATTCCATTGAAAAATATAGAGAAAGATTTAAAATACTTATAACATACATCAGAACAAAACTGATGCCATGGAAACGTCATAGCTGTAACACATCAATTTCATGTAACCATTAGCAACTGTAATCAAAGTTACTTTGATAAGAGTATAAATTAAATTTGAAATAATTCAACTTATTGCTTGGGATAAAGGCATGCATATCGTTTACATCAAGATTGTAAGTTACTGCACGTTCATTTGTTTATATGCAAGAAGGCATTTGTTTGCTACAAATAGTTTGCGTTCCGTGAGAATGCATCTGTCGATTCCTATACAAATCGTACTCTTATACATGAGAAACAATTGACTGGCAACAAACACACAGCAGTATTGATTTCGCGAGAAAACGTAACAATGTATATAAAAATGTGATGTTACAGATAAGTGCAATTTATCACAAGTTCATTTATTTATATTTAAAAGATTGCAATGTTTGCTTGGAGCAAATCGTGAGAACCTTCAAGAGATTTCTTAAAGTCTTATTCGTGAAAGTCATTTATTTCTGTGAATCAATATTGATTTCTTAGATAAGATTAATAAATGGGGGGAAATGTAGGTGGAAAGTTCTCTTCTCTTTAATATTTACGATTTTGGCATGTTATTTTTAGTAATTGCAACAAAGTGGACTGCATCCGTCAAGAGTCCGTTGCGTGAAACAAATTCGATCGATATTCGCTTTTTTTTTCGGTTGCTGTTTACATGTCTTCTTGTAGTCAAGGCAATATAAGTTTTGTTTTATTTGTTGTTTTTTTTTTTACGCAAATTGTTGTTGAAAATTTGACGAGATGTGGAGGAGGACGAGGAAAAGGGGTTGAAATGATGTGGATTCCGGGGGTGGCGGAAATCGGGGAGAGCAGTGTGTGTTGTGTTACGTGAGCGTGTTTGAAAGCCCCGCCAACGGAAGAGGTGACGAGGACGACGAGACGAGCAGTGCAGCAGCGGACAGATGTCTCGGGCCACGGCAAAAGGGGGCCACGCGCGCAAGCCTAGCACCGAGGGTCGCCCTTTTTTCAGTGGTGAAGTAAGTGTCTTGCGAGAAGGCAGAGTGACCCCCCCAGTAAATGCCCCGAAAACACACACACACTGAATATTCAGCATCGAGTCGTCGCTTCGATAACAACCGAAAAGACAAGCGTGTTTTTTTGTTCAGCGCGCGGCGGCCGTTCCGTATCCCCTCGGTACAGATAGGATTCGTTGCGAGAAACAACGGCAGCAGCAACAACAACAACAAACAAACAAACGGCGGTGGAGACTCCGGGAGTGGCTGGATCCCCGTGAACGAAACATTTGGACACAAACAAACAAAGGATCATAATCATCCGACGAACTCGGCAAATATATAATAACGTCAACATGAACGGCACGACGGCGACGAACGAGGATTGGAGCGGTTACACAACCATATGCAGGCTTTGCATGCAACGAGATGGCTTCATGCTCGGTATATTCAACCACATCCAGGGCAAGGAGAAGAGCATCTCCAGGAAGATAATGGATTGCACGGCTCTAGAGGTACGGAAAATACGTTTATTTCTTGCTATTGGCATGAGCCCATCCTCGCGCATTTGTTGGTTAAATCTGCCAGAATTGTATCTCCATCTTGCTTTATCTGTCGCACGAACACACACACACCATCTGACATTTACCTAACGTCAAACCCGATCGAAATCCCTGCGCAAACAAAGAACTATATAGCATTCACCATAAACTACAATTAAATAATTCAATAGTCTTCGATTTACACCTATTTACACATAATCATTTTCCTGGAATTCGTGGGTTTCCCATTTTTCCTCCATTTTCATCATCCCGAGGAGAAAATCCGTCTGTCATCCCAACATGTGCGTAGGCGCATGGCGCCAAAGAAAAACAATTGCCAACCTCACCAAAGTAAACGTAGTTGGGGTACATTTGGTTGCCTACATCAAATATTCAAAATTGTTCTACGTTGAAAATTATATTTTTAATTTACTCATGAATTAAGTTCATTTTATGAAAAGAGTTCTTAATTGTTTAATGCTAGTTGTTGGTCTTGTTCATTGTAGTTTTAACATATTGTTTTTTGTTTGCAGATCCAATTTGGAGATGGTCTGCCAAATTCGATATGCCATCGTTGTTTGTACAAAATTGAATTTTGCCTGGAGTTTCGTCAGCAATGCTTCGTGTCTGATGCAACGCTGAGGCAGATAAATGGATTGGCGAAGCAAGTGCCGCAGCCGTTCGCAGCTGTGAACGGTGGTGGTGCACCTCCGGAAGCTGGTGGAGATGTCGTCATGGTCGTGGATCCGAACACTCTTGACTATGAGAGCGATTACGAGTCGGAGGTGAACGGTGGAGGAGGAGGTGTAATAGGTCACGCAATCGTCGATCATCACAACAGTGATAACGAGACGAACGACCTGTGCGAGTTCCGCAACGTGTTCATGTGCAAATTCTGTGATAGAGCGTTCACCGACAAGACTGACTGCGGCAACCACGAAACAGCCGACCACAACAACGTCGTGCCCTACGAGTGCAGCCTCTGCGGCATGAACTTCGCAGACAGACTCCAGTATTCGGCTCATCTGAAGAGCGTCCACCAGAACGACAAACCGTACAATTGTCCTGAATGCGAGCGGACGTTCGCGCGCCGCTCCGACCTCAGGAAGCACACGATCGTTCACACAGGAATCAAACCGTTCACATGTCACATATGCTTCAAGTCGTTCTCGCGCAACACGAACCTCTCGAAGCACATCCGCATCCACAAAGGTCAGAAGCCGTTCGTCTGTCCGACCTGCCCGAAGACGTTCATCTCGAAGTTGGAGTTGACCAGGCACGCGGTCACTCACACAGGCATCAAGCCCTTCAAGTGCCAACATTGCCATCTGAGCTTTGGACGCAAAGATAAACTGCTGAGGCATCAGAAGAGGCATTTCCCTGCCACCGCAGCTGCCGCACCGACGGCATCGTCGGATAAAGCACCGGATAAGAAGAAGGCGCGCGAATCTATGGCAACTGAGTACGGTTTTATAAATCAGGACAGCAACGAGAACAACATCGAGAACAAAGAGGAGGACAGCAAACCGGAGTGGCCGAGCACGGAGAACATGATCATCAACATCGATCCGTTCACTCACGACGATCAGATCGAGCAGATCAACACCGAACCGGACATGCCGATGGGCGATGATCAGGAGGCGAAGGACGCCTTCCCCCAGGTGCCCGAGCACATTACCGGCGATAGCTTCTCGAATCAAGAATCGGAGAACGGTAAATAACATTTAAAGACATCACATCACAAGCAAATGCCAAAGTGCCTTTTTTGATATCGACTCGAAGCCGCAAACAAAAACCCTTCCTACCTACCTCCCTTCCTCCCTCCCTCAATCTAATTCAACTTGACAAAGATTCTTCAACACGACGTTAAATCGCAACCCGGACCCTTCGGCTCTCTCTCTCTATATCGAAAACAGCATAATGGTTAAACATACTTTATACAACACACTGTTAATGACAATAAATTTTCGCTTCCGGACGCACCGGATCCAACAACATCAACTTTTTATTTCTTCAAAAAAAAAAAAGAAAATAGAACAACCCCACCTCAAGTCCGAATCCAAAATATCCACTAAAATAAAAAGTTGATGTTTCCGGAAGCGTCAAATTACTGTCCGACACACGCTTCTTGCACAGTGGAAATGGCAACATCAACTTTTGACCTTTAATATTAGTGTTCCCTCTCAAATTTTTTTTAGGCACTGATTGTTGACCAGAAGTTTCCTCGATTCTATTTCAAGGAAATCGATTAAAAGTTGAAGTTGCTTTATCCCAAAATCACGAGACTTCCAAAAACATGACATGATAACATTATACAATTTAAATAACATCAAAGTTATCCCACTTCTATTAAACGCACGTACTTTAAATAGTTAACAGAATGTGGTGGGACTAGTTGAAAGGTTTGTTGGAAGACTGCAGCCAGCTGTGAATTACAAACGAGCAGAGTATTTATTGGAAAAGAAAAAGCCAAATTGATATGAAATGGTACAAAATGAAGTTACAAGTAATACATTCACCGAAAAGTATTTTATTCGAACTTTTCGAATATTAGGGGCTAGAAATTGACAAATTGAATTTTTCAGTAAAATTATTAATCGTTAGAAAACAGGAAATGCAAATTGGCATTTAGCATACAGTTTTCGTGGATCGGAGAGGTTCGAGTCCACACTAATCGTTGTTATTATTTGACAAAGTTAACTTTGTTTTTCAATTTTCTTGTTTGTTTGTTTCTTTTATTTATTTCATTTTGTTGTTCACGACGATCGAAGAGTTTCCTGCAAAATATTTACGAATTAGATTGAAATATTTACGAATATGCACGAGGTCCTTCGATTTGATTGTTAACCGAAGTAATTTTTCTAAATCTCTTCCAAAAAACATTACGTACACATCCAGTTCAAAAATTAGTTAATAATTAATTAGATATTTTTGTTGTTGTTCCTGTTAGAATGCTTACGCATTTAATATTATTATTATTTTATTATTCATTGCTATTATCTATATTTTTTTTTATATATACCAATAAACTTTTGAAATGAACCTCTCTATTCTGTAAAACCTTTATTACTCTGTTGTATCATCATTAAAGTATTATATGGCAGATTATCTTTGTGCAGAGGATTAGCTTTAATTGTCTAGGCTCTACATTAAATCAACTTGATAGAATGAGCCTTAACTAACACGAAGATCATTATGTTAACGAGCTCTGTAATCTAGTCCTATCTGACAAGTGACCTGTCACATATATACCCGAAACAGTCTATAGTAGTCATGGATACTCCAACTCACTTGTTTATTTAATTATTAAGTACGTCAATACTTTGGTAGTCATGGTTACTACTCTTTATTTTTCAATATTGCGAAGATGATTAGGTGTAAACTTATATTTGATTAAGATTCTGTTGCAGGTGGCCAAGAGGAGACACCGGAGAGAGTTAAGCGATTCCCTTGCGGGCAGTGCCACAAGCGATTCTCGAGCGCCGAAGGTCTCCATCTTCATCGCGGCATCCACACAGGGAACAGACCGTTCAGCTGCACAGTCTGCACGAAGGGTTTCATGCGGAAGAGGGAGCTGGAGCGTCACATGGCGACGCACACCGGGATGAAACCGTTCAAGTGCAGCAGCTGCAGCAAGTGCTTCGGCCGCAAGGACAAGCTGGTGCGACACGCGAGGATACACGACGTGAACAAGGAGCACATCTGCATGATATGCGGTGCCTCATTCAATCGCAAGGACGGACTCGTCCATCACATGAAGACGCACACGCGCGACGACGATCCCGATCTGACATACAGCAATCTCATCTAAACGCAGAACGTACGAAACGAATCTTACTGAAAGGAAAAGAGAAAAACAAGAGTAAAGTATTTGAAAAGGCCGATCCGACCCACCAGAAGACACGATCGGTACATTTTCGAATTCGAGAGAATGAGACAGAGAATATAAAAAATTACCTACAAAGTAGTAGTTGTTTAGGTCAGATAATTGATTATATCTACATTGTATATACGCAAAGAACAAAGCGGAAAATTGGTTTCATACAAGAAGAAAGGAAGATATTTTTTATGGACATTTTGAGTAATGGATAAATTAATTTTATTATGAAATAATAATAAATGTTACATACATATTAATAAATATATTGTATAAATTCATTTGTATGTATAAATAAAATCGATTGTAAAGTGAAAACAATTTTAATTGAAATCCAATTTTAACATTTAAATATGAAGGATTTTCATTGGTTTATGAGTTTAAATTAAGAGCCATCTATTGTGTACAGAAAGAGCTTTGATAACAAATTAATTTCTAATCAAGTGATCCGTAAACTGTAGGAATTTAAATTAAAAAAAAATTGAAAACTTCGTGTTAACAAGGTTGCCTATAATGCAGGTAAATTTAAAATAATGATTACGTAACATCATCTGCAGATATCTGTAAGGAAAATCGAAAAAAAATGTTCAGAGGTCGCTTCTTTTACATTTTGGGAAACGCTGCCTGCGTTCGATACATCCCATTGATAAAAAGTCGGCTTCAGTTGGTCTAGTTTTCACCGAATGAATGAATGAATGAAACCGAAGAGTGCGCACCTGTTCATGTCCAATCGTTGCGTTTCCATGGTAACCACAGTATCCAGCATCTCGGCGGCTGGCAACCTCCACGAGAGGTGAAGAGGAACGAACGCGCACCTCGCATCGGAGAGTTCAGATTGTGCACATCGTAGCACACACAGCAGAAACGGAAAGGAAGAGAGAAAACGAAGAAATAAATAAAGATAGGATCAAACAATAACACGTCAGTTAGTTGTAATGTCTAGCGGTAGCTGGCTGGAAGGTGGTCATCAAAGAACCATAATATAGGTGCTGCGACGTGATCGTGACCCGCTCTTTATTTTGGATCACATTTACAGTAAAACAAAACAAAAAGAGTAAACAAAAGACAAAGAAAAACAAAAAGCGAAATCACTTACGAACTACCTCTCGTAGGTAAGATCTATCTATATATATATATATATATTCAATTACTTTAACCCCACTTGTAAACCTACTTCTTTACAATCTCTTAACAATACCCCCAAAGACCTTCTAGACACAAACGGGAGGACCTCGTTCTCTCGCTATTGATCTCATCGCATCTCCTCATCAAATGCATGAATGAACTTAACGTTAGGTCAATTCCATTAACCGTAAAGCGCATTGCACTTTTAAAATCCGCACGCCCTTCCACACTTTACTTAGACACTACCCTTTTTTTGTCAACAATAGTTGAAGATCAAATTTGTCCATGTTTTACATCTGTCAATTAAATAATACGAAGCCTGCAACACAGAGAGACATCCAACACAACAGTTTCAAGACAGATTCATTTCGTTTCACGTTTAATGCAATTGTAATATTCAATTTAAATAAGGCGAATCATCAACCTTTTGTTGTCCTCTTGCTATTCGAACAAACGTCAAATTGTTCGCTTCCCGCCATTTGTATGACAATAACAAATACATTAATCGACGCAATTACGGAACAAAGCACGAATTAATTGTGAAACGTCCACGTCTTCTCTCGCCCCATTCAATTTGAATGTGAAATTTCGTATCGTTTCTTTCATATTATTATTATATTTTTGCACATATCTAAGTTCAGATTTCGTGCAAAACTGACTCATTACAACAAATTAATTAAAAATAAACTGCACACGTTTTATTTTTTTAGTGATTTTCTTTTGTATTGTGCACGTATTGTGAACGGTAATAGTAGAATAAGGAAATTGCGTCACGGTAATTTACGTAACTGTTGAAAATTGCGCGGTCACCTTATCGTTGCTAATTTCCGCGATAACTTTTAGCTGTTATTTCGCTATATTGTCACAATTGACGAAATCATAAGTTTCGTTGGTATTTCAAATCAATTCGCAATCAAATTGCAATTCATTGAATCAATCAATTTTATGTTTGAAATCAACAAATAAACGGAAGTTTATCAATGTAGGAAAGTGTTTTTCCTTGACCCATTTGACCACTATCGCATCAAAATAAATGCAGGAATTTTTGCAGTAAACATTTTTGGTTTAAAAGTACAATTGATACATTAATATTCTATTTACTTTTGTTTTTAACATTATTTCACACCACTTGATTTTAACAACAAAAAAAAAAGAAGAAATATCACACAAAATAATAAAAATTATTCGTAGTGACCTTTGAAACATATGCAAGTTATCTCATTGTTTATAGCAATATATTGCATATCAATATTTATTAATAATGTTTTATTGTTTCCATGGAAAACAACGATAAGCTCAAGAAGTCGTTCACATTAAACGTATTTATTATTATTATTATTTTAATTAGCGATTCTCAAAATCTTTTTTTTTTGTTCCAGATTCATTTGAACAAAACAAAACAAAAAAAAACAATTAACTTAAATGTGAATCACCTACTTGATAATTTCAGACGCAGTTGTCGCGAAAAAAATGCGACATTTACGCGTGGACAACGTAAAAAAAAATGAAATCACAACAAGATACGAAATTGTTTCGTTTGTTTTTTGTTTATTTGTAATTCAATCTGTAGAAGATCGATCAATGCTTGGGATAAGCGACTGTGTGTGTATGTGTGTGTGTGTATTATTTACACTTTGTCGGCACTCGCCGACCTGTGGCATTTGAACCCTTCGTTCACGACCCTTCACAAAAATAGAAAAAGCCAAATACAATACAACAGTTGGTTGGACAACGGTTCGCGCTTAACTCTTCGCGCGCGCTTGCTTTCGATCAATTTCAAGAACACGAAGAGTGGCACGTAATTGCACTGGGCGCAATCAATCGAAATCTAATTGAATTATGAATGTGTGCGATGCGGCGACCTTTGAAGTGTCTAATTAACTTTGGTCGGACAGGTGGACGAATGATAATCGCACGACGATAGTTATTTTTACGCATGTTTTAATTAATCCATTTCAGAATGATATCACCAAAATTATGAAAATAATGTCTTGGGGAAAATGATGACATAAAATTGGCGAATTCCCTAAACCAACGTCACAATCTGTCAATTTGACACTGACGTTTAATCGTTAAATATGTATGCAACCTAAATTGATGTTTTCACCCTAGATTACCTAGGCAACGTAGATATTTCATCCTTATCAGACGCGTTGGCTTCATTAGGGCCACATTGAAGAAGAAGAAAGGGAGAATCGCTTTTCCTGCTCTCTGAACATGAATCGTGTCTTCTGCAAAATCATCATCAGAATTTCAAAATCAATAGAAGTTTTCGAAAAACTTCATCTCCAAAAGCAAAACGATAATCTTCCAAAGTAAGCCTAATCCAAATCCGATAAATATATATATTTATATTCGAGACTTTAACCACTCGAACGACGGTGATTAATGCGGGTAGATTTTAATGAAAGCGTCGATAAAACAAATTTTTCGACAGACTTTGGAGCTGGCTTTTGTTTGCGATGACAACTTTCCACAGCCGACTTTTCGATTGAAAGTTGACTTTATTGTTATTCGCCGGGAACAGACTGAATGTTATCTCCAGCTACTGAACGTTATCTAACGAGCGCCACGCTTTTTCGTTCCCCTTTTTTTTGCGGATTTCGCGACATTTCCACGCGTATATATAAGTATAACTATAGCCCGCTTCTCGCATTCAGATCATCACTGTGCATAAGTGTAAATATTGTGATCGTCATTACGAAGAGACTAAACGAAAACAAACAACAAGATAGAAGACTCAAAGGTAATTGTTTTTTTTTTTCACGATTCGTTCATGCATTATTCATTACATTTTTATATTTTTTTCTTAATTACTATTATCACTTAAGTGGCGGACAATGTTTCGTAATGTCAATTGAAAAATAGAATAATTGAATAATTAATTGATTTCTTATGTACGCAATATAAAAAAAAATCCAATTCAAGTAAATAGATTCTGCAGAATGTATATATTTAGCAATTTGTCATATATTAGTTGTTTACGATTAGTTTGTACATTTGTCAGTGCGTTGATTCAATCGAAATCTGCGCGATTGACAGCTAAATGTCACTCGTTTGATGGCCAAAACAAATGTTTACCAGCCTTCTCATTTCGTGCGTCAACAAATAAGAAATGTCAACTTAATTCGAACCTCTAAATTGATTAACTTTCGTAAACTGTCAAACTTCAAAAAAAAATACGTCAGGTGACGTTTATTCTAATGGGGAAAATGTTGATATATTTATGATCTATTAATATTGTTAATAATTATTAATGTTATTGTCTATTAAAATATTTAATTAGTTAATAATTAACACGTGTTAGTCAAACGTTTAAAATTTATTAGATTTTTTTCATTGCAATCATTTCTAATTGCTGAACTATAAAATTATTTATTTTGTTTAATAATTTTATTATGATCATTTTCGACCCGAGAATTACATGAAAACTGTAAATATTATACAATATTAGCTTTATAATTCATATAAGATATTTGATAAAATGTGAAGAATAGAAGGTATAAAATTTCATAATTTTGGTATTGACAGAAATTTTGTCCTTTGATTAATATTAAATAATGAATTGTTTACCGCGTTAAATACCTTATCTAATGACAAGAAGGCTTAGCGCGATAATCACTTGTTTATTAAATTAATTGACTTATATCTACTCCCACCTACCGGCCAATTCGGCTACGAGGTACCAATTTTGTTTCGATCGCAAAAATTTATGTAACGAGACTACTCTCTTTTTTTTTTGCTGTTGTTGCGAATCGCGTGTCGTACGTGTCGATGATTCAGCCACAGTCCAAAGAGTGATCAGAGAGAGAGATATTCAATTAGACGGAATCGAGAACGTCATGCGATGTGTTCGTTTGTGTGGGTGTACATTGGTATGATGATGGTATGTTCTGGTCGGTCGGATCGAACCTTGGAGCGGCGCAACGGTCGCCCGCCGCCAGCCACCTTTTGTTTGTTTTGTTTTTTATGTAACCACTTGTCGGAGGGATCAGCTAGGCAAAACTTAAGTAAATTCGGTGACTTATTTGCGCGGTCGGACGACGGTTGTCGGTCAGTTGAGCCGCGAACCGAAACCGACTCGGATGGTGGATGAGCGAGCGAGTCAGTGCGAAAGAACGAGCGTGGACCGGTTTCTATACAACAACTACAACAACCCTCATCATCATCAGAGCCACCAAGAAGACACGATAAATTCGCACGTGTTCGTGCATCATCCAAAATACCGTTCATTATTATTTCGGTGAGTTGGATAACAGTCTGTCTCGCACTTCCTAGACGTGCTTTTTGTTTTTTTTTTCTTCTCTTTTGTTTGTTGTCGTCGATATCGCGATAAATCACTCAAAAAAATAAAATTCGAGTGGTCACTTGAGAAGTTACTCGGAAAACTTTCCGCGATTGCATCCGAATCCAGACTAATCTCGCACTCGTAGATAAATCGCACACACACGTAATAGTTGCAATTGCATCTTTGAACCCGATTTCACCATAACTGCAACCAAACTTAATTTCTTTATTTTGTTTTGTTTTACTTTTGTAATCAGCTGTTATCGACAGACGTCAAAAAATTCGCTTTGTCGTCGTGTCGGTTGTTCCAAATTGTTCGCTCCGCGGGGAAAAATAAACAAGAATTATAAGAGAAAACTCTCTTTACGCGAATTTTTCGGTGAGTTCGTAAAGTAGACGCTTTCGTTGCGTAACTCGAGTTCATTGGGATACGATACGAATCGCGTGCGAGTGTGTGTGTGTGTGTTTTTTTTCGTCGCGCCGATTGTCACCTTGACACTAAAGCCTTCTCGATCGCGCAGAGACTCATTTTTTTTTTGTTCGTGCGAAACGCGTTCCGTTTCTTAATTAAAAAAACTCTTTAAGTTCGTATCTCGAAAATCGATTAAATGTTGGATTAAATACAGTTATATAAACAGAAAGAAAAGTAAATAACTTTTGTGTTTTTTTGTTTGTTTGCGAGTCTACCAGATAAGAATTATTCAATAAGTAAGTTTTTTTTATATTGTTCTAATTCTTATGAATTCAAATGAATTGAAATAATCAATTTAAATGTAACGGATTCAATAAGGAAATTAGGGAAGTGATCAATTTAAATTTTTACACAATTAACTGAATATTCCTATTGTCTTTCATACATATTTCATAGCGCACTTCTATTTTCATTATTCAACAGGCCACATCCGTTCGTTTGGTTTTCAAGGAAATGCAAGCATGAACAGAGAAAGTTTTGAACACTACAGTAAAATTGAATCAATTTCAAAAGAAATTTCTTCGTAATTGCAGAATCTTCAATAACTGATTCGTATCGTTAAAATTTCAATTACTTATGAAGTGCAAGTGAGAATCCTTGTTCAATATATCTTCGTTTCTTAAGTACACAGAAACTTCTTGTTACTTTTCTTTGTGAATTCTCTTTTAAAGAAGTTTTTTTTTTATTCCAACATACTTCATTGATGTTTATTTATGGGTGCTGACTGCGGTTCCCAATAAAAACCGAGCAATAAATTGTGCACTGAAAATAAAATTTATAGCTGTCTGCACTCTATTATATTTATATAAATAATCTCGACATAAAATAGTGCTTTAGTTTATTTTTATGTGTTTTAATTCAATAATGGTAGCGAATTGAAAAATGTTGAGTTGTTCATGATGATGGTGAGTCTTTGTTTCTTCTGAGTGATCTTCGTTGGATGAGTAGACTCTCGATCTGTCCGTGTTAAGCCATTACGTAATCAGAAATAGTACTGGAAATGTGCGTTGAATGCATAAGGTCATCGGGGTCACACACATATATAGAATCACGTTATGCGGTGGTGTGATGTATCCAAGGAGGAGCAGAAACGCGCGCGATAAAAGTCGAGTGGCCTTAGTTTTCTTGTTTTGTTTTTCGCAGACAAGGGAGAAACGAATATTTTGGTCATAAACAAAAGCTATACGCGAAAAAATGGCATCTTTGATTTTGTGCATATGTAATTCGAATTGCGTAAGCCGCGGTAATTGTATATATTACGTTCAGTTTAATCGTCTATAATTTGAGATTCTATTTACATTATTCATACATCCGTTTTTCTTTTTTTTTAAATAATCAAGTGGTATTCTCTAATCGATGGCAATTTTATAATTGACAATTAGCATTTAATTTGCAATATCATTTCCATAGCAACGGTTGTTAATTTGCTTGAACGAACAATTAGTGTAACATTTATTATCGAATTTGTTTACCTCTTGAAACCTATAATTGTATAATTCGCACTTACATTTTCAATAGTAGCATTTGATTGTGCACTTTTATGTTTTGAGTGTGTACTATGAAACGCGACTGTTTCGAAATCATTTGTTAACATTCGTGATCTAGTTGCGACAGCTTGCTTCGGCCAAGATAAAAACAAATTGTTCGTTATTGTTGTGTAAGCTTTTCTTCATTTGTTATTGGTTTCCTAGGAAACGCATCAAACTTTTGTTTTGGTGAATTTCGCGGACAAACGTTGTAACATGTAAATATTTTGCACAGAGCAAAAAAAAAAAATTTGCCGAATAATCGCGTTTAAGCCCGACGCGGGCTTAATTGCGTAATCTTCGGATTAACGCTGACAGATCGGTTACATAAGCGGCGCGTAATCTCGTTAGAGGAGGACCCCTATCGATCCGATCCGTGCGTGAATAGTTGTGGGCAACTCGAGCATGATTTACGATCCCCCCGTTATCGATAATCCTTTCTGTCGAACATTCGACACTCCGGTCTATTTACATTTCGCTTCCATTGTTGTAATAGTATTGCGTTACTACCTGCATTTTGCATGTAGGAACATCAAAGTCGTCGCAGAAGTATAGAGTTGCGCGCTCGAATGATAAAAGCTGCACGCAATTGTTTTATAAATTTTGTTTATTTGGGCCAGGGTTGCGCGAAAACGAGAAAACCTTTTCACACTTTGAAGGTCCTCTGAAATGTGACTTGCTTTAATTGACCCGAATTGTTTTTCATTGTTTTTCGATTAATCGAATGGGTTTTTGCAAATGCCAAAAATCGACAGTCGTATGTCGCTGTTTGATTGTTTTTCCAATGAAGGTTACGATTTTTATTGAGTATTTGTTGCAGATATGATCAAGTGGGTTTTGGCGTTGGCCGTCGTGTGGATGTTGCTGATCTTGGCGTGGAAGGTCAGCTCGGTGGCGAGGTTCTACATCAAATTCTCTATATACGCGGTGGTCAGTTTCGTGTCGGCAACATGTCCCATTCCTCTGATGCTGCTGAGGCCGAAGAGCAGCAAGAACGCTCTGTGAGTATCATCTAATAAGTCTAGGCGGTGGTGGTGGTGGTAGTAAGTAATCTAAAAGAACCGGTCTAAAATGTTGATGAATTCCTGCAGGTTCCCGGCGGCGGCTTTGAGCTGTTGCGCCAAGTACGTGCTCGGCCTGGACATTAAGATCAAGGGCAAAGAGAACATCGTGGAGGGAAGCGGCAGCGTGGTCCTCATCAACCACCAGAGCGTCGTCGATCTGATAGGTGCGTCATTTTGTGCATATCATTTCTGTGATGATCATTGCGGTAACTTTGAATTGAATTTAACAGTTTTGGCCGAGCTGTGGCCGGTGATGGAGAGGTGCACGGTAATCTCCAAGAAAGAGATCTTCTACATCTGGCCGTTCGGTTTGGCCGCATGGCTTTGGGGAACGATCTTCATAGATCGACTGAACGGGGTGAAAGCGCAGGATGCGATCAACAGCACCGGCGAGATCATCAGGAGCCGAAGGGCCAGAGTGATGATGTTCCCGGAAGGCACGAGAAGTCAGAAGGAGAAATTGCTGCCGTTCAAGAAAGGTGCCTTCCACTTGGCCATCGCCTCAAAGTGTCCCATCCAGCCGATCATCGTCAACAGATACAAGTTCTTGGGACCGAAGCGATTCGATGATGGTACTAAACATGTAACTGACATCAATTACTACTATTGTACTATTTGCAATTTACAGGTTCAATCGAGGTGTCGATTCTGCCACCAATTGCCACCGATCAAGTATCGCGCGAGAACATCGGAGAGCTGATAGACAAGACATATCACATAATGCAGGACCATTTGGACAGTTTAGACGCGCAACACGCAACGACGACGCCCAACAACAACATTGACAAATCTAAAGACATCTAGACTGATTACTAACTAACTAACTAACTAATACTCTATGTTTGATAAATTTATATAAAATTATAAGTAACTGTTATAATATATACTTAATATTTTTTAAATAAACAATATACTATTATTTTTAAATAAACTCTCTCTTTTATTTTTACCAAAATGCAACGATAATTGCATAAAACCAATTAAATTAAATTTAAAAATTCGAAATCTATATATGATCTCGCTAGGTGGCGTTCTCAAGTAATGTATATCCAGTCATAATTCAGTAAATAATTACTCAAACTTCAAATCAATTATAAGAATTGTTAGGTAATTAAGTGACGTATATTTCAATGAAAGCAAATCTTAATTATAGCCTTAATTGAAAAGTAGCAATTGGAACAGCGCTGAACTACGACCTTTGCATAAAAGCTAAGAGATGGCGAAATATTATAAACCATGACACTGACAGCAAACAATTTACATTATGGTCGAAAATCTAATACGAAAGTTCGTTGGTTCGATTCCCAAAAAAACCAACAACAATTTGTGGTGGCTGTTAAATCCGAAAGTGGTAGAAATAGGACCGAAATAGATTTATATCAATAAATAAATTGATATAAAATCTCTTTATCGTGAAAAAAAAAAAAGTTTACATATTTTGGCGCTGTTACAATTACTTCTTCTTAATTAAAGCTTTAATTACAAAATGCTATTAATCAAAGTGTTAATTGTAGAAAGATCAAAGTAATTATATGAATCATCAATTACGACACCTATCGTCAATTTTTCAACAAATTAACAATTTAAAATTAATATATATATATATATACACCTACCTCCATCTATTAGATCGGTTGCGTAACCTTGATGATTTATATATTGCGATTGTGTAAATTTTGAAAATGATAAAAGAAAGAAAAAAAAATAATATTTTAAAAGTAATTTAGAAAATTTATTTACCATCGTTTCGTTTCCTATATATAAAACTAAATCACGTTTTCCAATTGAAGTGAAAATGATATATAAAAAAATAATAATAATCAAAATAAAATACTAACTAGTATTACATAAATTGTGATGAGAAAAACTAGATACACAAGAATAGGAGCAAATAAACTGTTGAAACATCTAATAATACTATACAGTTTCCTCTTTTCCTTTCCCTTCAAATTCATTCATTCATTCTTTTTTTTGGACTAGTTTTGTACAAATTACTCTTTAATCACCGTGCGTTAATTATTATATACTATTCGACGCGCGATTCTGCTAAATAAATATACATTACATAATCATAACGGTACAAAGAATGAAACAAAAATTAAATTAAATTCGTTAATTAAATAAAAAATATATGTACAAGTGTTCTCATCTTCACTACACGTTTCGTCTCATCATCATCAATCAATCAAACAGCACAAGCACTAGAAGTTCGTTTGTTTCTCTTCGTCCCTTTCGCCGTTCGTCCCTTTTTTGGTCCCCTGCGTGTATTTACAAATAAAAACAAACAAAACAAAAACAAAACGAACCAGAAGAAGATTGTCTATGATAGACGAGAGAGTGAGGGAGGTAGAAAGAAGAAGAAAACAACAACAACAGCCGGTTAATAAAAAAAAAACAGTTCTAGAATGGCCTCCCTTGATTGAATTGTCTATCCGGAATTCGTGGGGGAATATTGGGCACCGGACGACTGCAAACAAACTCAAATTAAATAAGAAATTGAAACATAAAATATTACAACAACAACAACAACAAAAAGAGACAACAAACCGATGTTGAGAAGAGGTCGAACCACATATAACAGTGATTACATATTAGTGTAGGATGCACTCAGTGGTAGAACAAATGAACACAAACAAACAAACAAAGAAAACACGTTAAAATTATTGGAGGATGTGATAATTATTTCGCGCTCGATGAGCTCTTTGGATGTGTGGATGGTTGCGGTAGTACAGTTGCATTTCATTAAATAATTATAGATTAGTTTAAATATTTATATTATATCACTATATTTACACAAATATTCATATATAACTACTACAGGTAGTACACGCATGTCTTTTCTTTCATCATACATATGCACCCTACATAATCATTTATCTTATTAAAGGTAGGAGGAGGCGGTGGAGTTGCGGATGTGGTGGAGAGACACACAACAAAATCAAATCGTTTTTTATTATTTACATGCAGCAAAACACATCGCCCGCCCGTCCGTCCGTCCGAATAAGTCTAAGAAAAGTGCGAGTCGTGGTGTCGAGTACTAATTCTCATTATGCGAAACGAGCGGAGGCGGCGGCGGCGATACGACGTTCACTTCAATACTTAAACATTACTTTAACAAATATCTCAATATCATCATCATCATTAAGCTGATTAAATATAAACTCCTTAGGACCTAACCGTTTGTTTTTGTATCTCTCTTGAAACAATAATAATAACAACAACAACAACATCGACTACTTCTTATTTTGCTCCGTACAATATTAATAATAATTAATAATAGTTTAAATGAAAACGTGAATCTATCGCACATAATAATTTAATTGACCTGCCCTAAGAGTAAGATCCAAAAGAAGAAAAAGAAATAATAATAATGATCACCACTACTACTAATATTTCGTCGACTACCGTATTAAGTATAAGCCCGTCCCGCACTGCTGCGAAGACGAGGTTCATTTATCATTTACTTCTTACTCATTTAATTACTTTTTTTTTGTCACGTTCGCAAATCACATTGTTAGCTCTAAGTATTTTTGTTAATTTTTTGCTTCTCCACTAATTGAATAGATAGACACTGATTAAAGAGATGACCTACTGGGAAGAGCTTTCTTTTCCTCTTTGTTATTTAACCTATGTGCGTTTCTTCGATCGGAACAACGCGTTCCAATTCTACAAAGACTCTACAAAAGCATAGTAATAAGTGTAATTTCTCTGTTTCTCTTATCAACCCGGTAAAGTAGTAATAATCTAATGAGTTTTGCTGTATGTTTTTATATATTTATATATATAAGTATTGTAGATTTCGGTTCGAAGCGAAGATTAGTTTAGACATGTTTGTTCGCCCTAGTCATGGATGGGCCTGTTTTTAAACCGTTAATCAAAACGTATTAATTATTAAACGTAATTATTACTATTATTATTGTATGCATTAATGGAACACAACGTCAACCAAACCAAAAACTTAGAAACCAGATTTACTTGTGGAACCTGAAGGCGTTGGAGAGCTCGTTGACCGCGTGCTGAGTGACGGCCCTTCCGACGGCCATCTGGACCTGCTGTGGCACTTGGACACCGCCGCCCTGGCCACCCCCCGGTCGGCTACATACACAAAAGTTCAACAGTCTCTTAGCCCCCCTCGCTCATAATCATATCATATCAACATACTCGCACTTAACATCAACATAAATCTCTTACTCTCAATACAACAACAACAACAATACAGCACGTTTCGCCATCGATCCTAGTGCAAATATACGCACAGATTGTACTTGGCAAATATCACGCAATGTAAATCACAAGTTTAGTTTCAGTGTTGCACATATTTGCAGCCCTCCGAGCTGAGGCGTGTCAATCGGATCGTTCCAAACGCGAAACGTGTTGTCTTGTTAATATTGCAGGAGGTAATTGTTAGCAACGATACCAAAATTCACAGTACAGTGGCGTAAAATAATGGAGAGCGTCAAATGGATCAATTTAGTTTGTGCTCCATTATTTTACTGTGTATGTGTATGTTAATAAATGGAAGAAAACGGCGGAAATATTATGCAGTATGCGTTATTCTCTATATATATATATACGGGTTTCCTATATTTGCTTCAAATATATTATATAATTCATCAATTCGTCAACAAGTATTTAAATATAATACAGATAGATAAATGTGAACGTCTCGTCTCGTCTCCTTTCACTACGAAATTTACAAATACGATCTGACAAACATCAACAACAAACAGCAGCACTCTGCTTCATTCTTTAGTTACTTTACCGCCCTAGAAAAGTGTCAAATATATAGATATATAACAAAAATAATAATTTAGGAAGCGTGCCCTCTCTCTTTCTGTTCTCATTTTCATCTCAATTTTGGTTTGCTCTACGGCGAAGCCTATTACAACATCTCCACGAAACAACTAATCTTTGACTAATATCAATAATAATTCGTGAGTACTACCAAGTTTTAGAATAAATATATATATATAATAGATAATCTCTCCATAAGATGTATTTTTGTATCTCTTTCACTCTCTCTCTCATTCTACGCATCGGTGATGACGAATCGATTAGAATGCAAATAACCAGAACTCTTTCGTATTATATTAAATCTTTCTATCTTTGTTTTGTTAGTGATGAGTGGGGGAGGTGCGCGTTGGAAGTGGTTAGTTGTGGAACCCTTAGCGCCTCCTGCAATCAGAACCACAAACAGAGAAACGCAACTTGAACTGTGGTCCTCCTCAACTACCACTGCACGCATATGGTGTTAGTACGAAGGCTACCGTACGGAATACTTACGTCGGGATGAGAGGCGCGGGAAGGGCCTGTCCTTGCGGTCTGCCTGGAGGCATCGGAGGGGCGCCACCGCCCGGCCTATTCGGGATGGCCGGGGCGGGTCTTCCTGATGCTGGGGGCGGTGGCGGGGCCCGCGACCCACCTCCTCCGCTGCCGCCGCCTCCGCCGCCGCCGCTGCTACCGCCGGATGAACCCAACGAACCTAAAACATCGGCAAAACAGAAAACACACGAATTACCATCCGCACCCTTCGACGACCCGGAATACACAAGCGTTCGCATCATTCACAACGAGAAACAAAACAAATTAATTAAAACAAAGAAATGAAGAATTGAACAGGAAGCAGCGTACAGGATTTGTTAATAGTTGTTTAAATAAAGTTAAATGGTATACCTTAATGAAACTTAAATTACCATCTCTTCTCTCAAACAACCAACTACATTATCAAACACATGCGTTTTTTGCGTTTTCTCTTAGCTAATAAAAAAAAGGAATAAGAGATCGGATTAAAATCTTGGTCTTTTGTTAGTGAGTTGACCCTCATCCAATCCAATCATTAATTTTCAATAATTAAACGGACACAATAGGTGCAGTGATAACAAAAAATAATTGAATTAGTCTGTAAGTTCATGCATCGTAAATATTAGCAAATGTGGTGGAATTATTCCGTAATCGGAGGGATGAAGGTCATGCGATAATATAATTTCTGCTCACCGGACATTCCCATTGAACCTATTGGAGGTGCCGACTTCCTGGGTCCACCTGGACTTGGCGGCGAGAGCCTCGGATTGTCGAGGCCGCTGGCCAACCAATCGTTCTTCACCGGCGGAGGAACCGGAGTGGAAACTGTAGCCATGGAAACATCACCGATGATCCTGAGAGCCTCCTTGCACGCATGGTACATCCTCAACATCTCCTCCCGCTTCTGCGCTTCCTCCGGAGACTCCTCCATCATCGTAGCCTATGAAAAACGAAAATCAATCAAGATATTCTTCGAACAACAACAACAGTGATTTATTTACCTGATCTCCGCCCGCGTAGATATGAGCCAGCAGTTCGCTGTTGATGAATTCTTTGGCATTGTTGATGATCAACATCATGATGGTCTTCGGAACCAAATCCCTGGTGGTCTTCGTGACGATGCGCATGTAACTGTCCACCAGGTTACGAATAGTAAGCACCTGTCTCTCCAATTGCGGATCCATGGAACTCGTGTTGCCCTCGTTCGCCTAATTCAAAACAAAAACATTAACATCATCAAGTCTACATTACACGTACATCTATCTATCTATCATTAATAGTTGAAACTCGGAAAATCATAATTGAAAACCGTTCAAGTTGTTAGTGAAAATCAATGTAAAATTAAAAAAAAAAAAAATTGGAATATACTTATAATTTCGTTTGTGAATTTTTTTCATCCGAAACTGTTACTTGAATATTTCTTCCTCCCGTCGGTCGGCAATTTCTAAAGTGATTTCTTAGCAAAAAGGGAAAGCAAAACCGCGCAAGAAGCCGCACAAAGACCCACCATCTCCAATCTCCGATTCAACACTAACACGGCTGGTTTTGGAGAGAGAGGGTCGCCGTTCGCTACATTTGTTCACACACAAACCTGATAACTGTCACCCTGCAGCAATTAACAAATAAAAAAAAAGAGAAAACATTAGAGAAGCATTAAAAACGACAGTATAGAGCAATTAGTCAGAGAGCGAAATATAAACCAAAAAGAATAGTGATGGTATTATATGAAAAGCAAAATTGTCCCGCGGCCAGAAACATAATACTTGCCTTTCTGATATTCTGAAAAATGAAAAGCGTTTTATAAATTGCATGTATATTTGGAACGTCGGCGAATTGAAGATCCAAAAAGAAGGAAGGAAAATAGCAATACGTTGTTTTTTGCTCTTTCATTTTATTTTCATTCTTTTTGGCGCCTCAATCGCGTCATCATTCTCCGCAAATATTTATCCTTCTCTTTCAGTGAATCTAATCGGGTGCTGCTGCTGCTGAAGATCGGCGGCGCGGAGTGTGTTCGATTACAGCTACTATATAGGTATATAGTGCGCATTACACTTACAAAGGGGGTGCAAAAACAAAGATAATATACACACTAAGGGGCAACAAAAATAAAGTGTACATTCCCTTAATTAACTATTAAAACTCACTTGCACATTCTGGGAGAAGACAAGATACGATTGGAACAAAACGCCAAAAAATGCTCATTTAAGTAACATTTTCTCTCTTTTTTTTTGCAGTGTACGAATGTGTGTATGTGTGTGTGTGTTGCGTATTCAAAATTAATTGTATTAATTAATGAAAAAGATATTTCTTTTTTATATATATATATATATATAGAACTCGACAATATCTAAATAGAAGTAGTAGAACGATACTTCAAAGTACTGACGTGCGGATAAGATTTGAATTTGTACTCATTCGAAACTAACTACTTTCAATTCGTACTCACATCTTCGCCGTTCACTTGATCCGTTTGCTTTTCCGGATAAACACCGGCACGCAGGAATGATGCCTTCCAAGAGTCCACCTCGTCAAGGGTCTCGCAGCTCAACTCAAGCTGCTTGAAATCCTGAAATAAAGGATAACACTGTTAACAATTTCCCACATACTAATTGTTATTTCAATTAACCAAATTGTAACATATGTTCCTAGATGTTACTTGAAACTTTAAATGTGACGTGCAACGTCAAGAGGCGCTATGCGTTATACAGTAGTAATTGCTTTACTAAATTTCGCAGCCGCTTCCAAGAGCTTGACGATGGATAGCTACTGCTACGATCTTAGAAACACCCCTTGTCACTATGGTTGCGTGCGGTCGAAACGTTGCGGAGAGACTGGAACGTCGTTCAAGACGCTCAACGATGAGGAGCGTCTCGCCATATTAGCCGGACACAACGAGCTGAGGGACAACGTGGCCGGAGGAACATATGCGGCACAATATCTACCGATGGCGAAGAACATGCACGTGTTCAGCTACGATAAGGAGCTGGAATTCTTGGCCGGATGCTACATCAAGCAGTGTCTGTTTAGGGAAGACAAAGTCATCAAGACTTCAGACACAATCGATGTAGGACAGAACTTGTACACGTACTTCAATAAGGGAATGATCGAAATGGATAAGGATTTTCTAATCAAGTGCGTGACAACCTGGTCGAAGGAGATATCGTTCTTAAACAAGAACAACTCGAAGATTATATTTAATAACTACGATATCACCAACTCTCCGGGCAGGATTCGCCACCTGACGCAAACGCTGTGGGCGGAAAGCCAGTACGTGGGATGCGCGAAAATGCACACGATTCGAGTTCCAGGCTGGAACCATTTCGATATCGTCTGCAATTATAAGCCGCAGGGTAACGTTCTCAAGGACGTCATGTATGTGATCGGCAAGCCGTCATGTGGTGTTCCCAACAGCAATTACACGAATCTCTGCGGTAATATCCGACCGTTAAGCGAGGACAACTATGAGCCGCCTATGCAATTGGATGGAAGCCAGCAGGTGATTCCTTCGATGAGCGCGATCATGTTTATGGTGGTAATGACGTTGATGATTCTGAAGATGAGAGAAGACTTGCCTTGTAAACGTTCCTGCCGTCCGGATTGAACAGAGCGAACATATGTCTTCGTGACATAAAGCTCTGCTCGATGTCGCGCAGCTTCAATCCGTCCAACGGCAACATGTACTTCTTGTCGCGCTCCTCTTCGTCCTTGAACCAGGAGATCGTCTCGGAGGAGAGCACAAACCAGTAATCCCGTGATCCTCCCTTCATAATGCCCAAATTGTGGATGCACATGTATCCTTTCCTGATCACCTGGTTCCCCAACGGTCCTCTGTTCCCAGTCTTCGTCGCACTCTCCGACTGGCTCTGAGCACTGCAACAATAAATCAAATGTCAAAGCAACGCGTTCGCATGTTCACGATCAGATTCACGAGATCACGTACTTTGCGAATCCAATAAAGTCCTCGTGATTGGTGTTCATGTAGGCCAACTCGCAGTCGACGAGCAGCAGCAGTTGGTCCTTGCATAATTGCTCCCTTTGGCGGATGTGATTAGTGATGATACCATCGGTCACCTCCCTCAGTCGAGGGTAACGCGACATGCGATCGGTGCAAACGCGAACTACGTTCGTCAGTTCCTGGACTACCAGATCCACGCACTTGATGGAGGGCTCCTTCAAACGGCTGATCTGCTTCTTCACTATAGCCTCGAAGGCCATATCTGGCGTGAACAAACCGACCTGCACGATGTTAAACGAATACACACATCAATACATCAACGAATCATCATCATTATTGCATTGCATTGAACGAATTACGACTTACGCGAATACCCAAGGTGTTTCTGATGGCAAACGCGATTTCGTGTCGCATATCCTTCTCGTCGATCTCAATCCTGACGATCTCGAAGGGGAACCGTTCGTGGAAGAGACGGTTGATCTTCGCACCACCCGACAACTCGTTGGTGTTGATCTGCGCAGACCAGGAGCCCTCGATGGCTCGCTCGAAATCGGACTGCAGCTGCTGGATCATCCTAGAATTGAAAAAAATGTAAATAAATAAAAACAGAAAAAAAGAACTGGCAGCTATACTCACTGCAACATGGCCTTGGTCTTAATCGATGGATCGTCGGGGCGAAAATGCTTGTACTGATCAACATCCTTCTCGAGGGCCAGATACTGCTTCTGGAGTTTATCACGAAGACCGGGCAGAGTGTCCCTGATATGGTTGGTCAGTTGCTGATTGAGTATTCGTTGCAAGTACGGAGTGCCCAGGCGATCAGCCAAATGCCGGTACGAAGGATGACTGCAAAAATAAACGTTCATGCATTGAATCCAATCGCAATCAGAGTGAACCAATCAATCCGTTACCTGAGGAAGAACTTTCTTTCGGCGCCGAGCGCAGCGTTAATATCCTTCCTGCCGTCGATGTCCTTCTGAGATCTGTTCACCACGCCGATGTAACCGCGTCGCAGAGGCAACAATTTGTTCTCGAGGATGTCCCTGGCGTCGGTGCCTTCGTCCATGAGATCCAGCTTCGTGATCACGCCGATCGTCCGGATCCCCTGGAGATCGACCTCCTTGGCCAGCTTGAGGGCATCTGAGTTGGCCAGATCGCTGTTGGCCGGTGTCACGGCAAGAATTAGACAGGACTCGCGCTTGATGAACTGCATGATCATCGCCTTGATTTGGGCCTCGATGTCGACGGGCTGATCGCCGATCGGCACCTTCGTCAGACCAGGCAAATCGATCAGAGTCAAATTCAATACTGAAACGTTAAACAATCTTTGCAATTCCGTCCCAAGTTACAAATGCTGCTGCTGCTACTGCTGCTTTTACCGTTCGGAGAGTACACCCTCAGGTTAATGGGTATATTGGAAATACCCTTGTTACTTCCTGTGACCCTGTCAGTTTCGGCCTCGATCTCTCCTCGAACCTCATTGAAATCAACGAACTTCCTCCCTTTGCAGTGCAGAAACTCTGCCCATTCTGAAATCACATCAGTTTCGCATATTAGAATTGTAACTTCTACCATACCTATCTATTATCAAGAGAAACAATTATTATTAAATCGTCATTCTTATTAGAAATAAAGTGAAAACGTTTTGATGGAAACGAAAAGGGGGACGACCTCGCAATATGAGCAAGATATTCTGGGAACGCGACATCATCAGAAACAACGGAACTAAATTAAGTGTGTGTATGCGTGCAAATAGAAGATTAAACGTTGCAAGTGAAACATTTGTAAACAAAATTGTTGTCTCGTCTGACGATCTCATTTGCAGTGCCAAAAAAAAAACGTTGATGTTAATGCACTTATACCCAGTAATAAACTCGTCCGTTTCAGAATTCGATTGCGTCGAAACAATTAAGTTTTTTTTTTCCATCATCGTTACAACAAGAGCGTACAGCAGATACGAATCGGATGAGTCAACAAACGAGATATCAAAACCTCTTATCGCTATATAAAACAATGCATTTTTCGAAACGTATTTCAATTTGTAATAGTTTTCGTTGCCCGATAATCATAAATTTAGGTTTTTGCAGAATTCACTTTACCGGTGTTGGAGTTGATCAGCTGCAGGATGAGCGGCCTCCTGGTGACGATTCCCGAACCTCTGGGAAGGAAATCGCTGAAACGAAAGGAAACATGAAGCATACATTTATATTTTTCAAACGAGGGGGAAGAAAGTTAGAAAGTAGGATGATTTTGCGAAGAAATGAGCAGTCTCAACAACAACAATAATAATGTGGACGTCTTATCAAATAACGGTACGAATGAAGATTGTACAATTCTGCTTGCGCAACCATCCATGTTTATGCGATGTGCGGTATGCATGCATGTGTGTGTGTGTGGAAAGCTTGCCAAAAAATAAAAAAACATTATTGGAGCCGCGTTCGCAACAATCACACGTACTCGTCATTGCATAATTGTAAATCGATGCACTTGAGGTAGTGTAATAATAGTTGGATCAATCAATGCACGCATCGAATTAGCGTCAAGATCACACGAGATGTTCAACTTGTTCAATGTGTACGTTCATTATCTCAAGATTGTTTATGTCGTGACGATAATACAAAATCCCTTCAATTGCAGAAAGTAAACATGTTTCTTCATGCCGAACGTTACAAAAGTCTAACAAACTTAATCATCATAATTTTGCTTATTTTATCTTTATCCTTTGAATACGTATTCATCCGGTATTCCGCGATAGGCAAACTTTGAGCTCATTAAAAACAAATCAGCAAAACCTATTAACATGGACTGTTCAAGTAGCAATCATTAAAGAAATCTTACAAATTCGAGTTTAAATGTATAATATAATAATGCTTCAAACGAGATGCATCGCACAAATCAATATATAATCATATGAAATTAGGCAATGTGAAAATCTCTAATTACAGTTAGCAATCAAATCGCGTATGTGTTTCGCTCCTATTTTCACTTTTTTTTTTATTATTATTATTACTTTGAGGCCAGTCTTGCGTGCACTTTGCAATTATTCAACTATATTCATTTCTCTATCTCTTTCTCTTTGCCCCCCTCGCACACCTCATTTCAGATGTTTTCGTTTCCATAATCACCGAATAATTTCACACTGTCTTGATTGTAAAAAAAAAAACATAACAATCGCATCTCTCAAGGAATCCCCCACAAGTATCGATTACATATCGTTCTTACGTAATTACACGACCATCAGACAATTAATCTTTGTGTGTGTCTTTCTATACGTATTAGCAAAATGTGTGTAATTGAATAATTCCACAAATTCGAAATTAAAATCCTCAAAAAACCAAATAAATATTTGACCAAAGTCCATAAAATTCTGTATTTACAGTCTTCATTGTTTGTCTCGGTGATAACTTTACAATAGATCAACCACAAGAATAATAAAAATGTATAGAATTAGTTTTTGAATACACTACAGATAAAACCAAAAGTTTCGGAAACAATTGTTTGTTATCTATGAACAATAGTGACGATGACAAATATTGATTTTACTGATTCTTTTTATCAATATCAACTATGAGTTTAAAATCATAGTCTCACTAAAATGTCGACTACTGAACTCAATAATAGAAAAGTATTGATTCATATTATATACAATAGTTATTTTAGAAAAAAAAAGAGTGAAAATCTGAATCAAATAAAGCTTTATATTGAGGCGTAAGACTTGAAATGTTTATAATAGTTAAATGAATACTGTAAGCGATTAAATTGTATATATTGATATGTAAATTGTTGCGAATTGGATGTGCATTTCGTGTGGGCGTTGTTGAAACTGTTATATTGTTATATTGAGGGGGTAACAGTTACGATCGAAAATTTGTAAGATGTATTTGAACGTCAATGTACAATGTACATAGATCGAACGTGTTTTAAGTGGGCTGTGATAAGGTAGATTGAACAAATATCGACCGATCGTGAGTGGGCGAACAATAAATGTTCTTGACCAAAAAAAGATGATGACGATGATGATGATGCTTAGGAAGAAGAATTGATTAGTATAAAGGAATATTGAGGCCATCTTTCTCTCTCTCTCACACGCACACGGTGCAATGCAAGTTATGGATTTTACACGGAATCTGTCAAAAAGCCGAGAAAAGAAAGAAAGAAAAAAAAAAGAAGAAGGTATACAACGGGGGGGCAGGCGGCGTTGGTTATTTTCTCTCTTCTGTTAATTGATGCACGTTCTTCTGGCTGGCGATCAATCGTCGCGAGAGGGAAAGAGAGTTGAGAAAACAAAAGGAATTCGCATGAATGGAATTAGGGCATTGATTTTCCTCGCGTGCAAAGTAGGCGCTCAGTATTACGTCGTCGTTGTTTTACTTTCTTCATTTATTTTTTTTCTTTCTTTTTTGGGTGTTTGCACCATGTTTTTTTCGCCGGATGGTTAAATTTGTTGACCTGCGGTTATCGTGAGATGGTAGTACTGCCACCGGTATGAATCATCGTGCATAATAACAAATGGATGGGATGTCACCGGAGAATGACATATTGACATCGGTGGCTGTCAAGTGGGAAAAGTCGATAAACCGACGGAGAGGAGAAGGGGGGGGGGAAGGAGGAGGATGATGTTGTGATGATGATGATGATAATACACGCCCTGGATGAGACGTTTTTTTGTGTTTTGTTTAAGAGATGATAGATGGATTAGATTACCGTCCGACGAAGTTCTCCAGGACGGAGCTTTTGCCCGCCGACTGTCCGCCCACAACGGCGATCTGCGGCAGGTCCAGTGTCATATGCACCCCGAGCTGCGTGAACGCATCCTGCAGCTTGTTCACGATGGGGATGAGCTGCTCCATTCCCGTGTTTCCCGACATCTTCGAGAAGACTCTCTACTATGACCTTAGGGAAGCCCCGCTTCTGCTGCTGCTGCTTCTTCTTCTTTGCTGTGTCCCCCTTTGCCGCCCACTTTCCGACGACGAACGCACTACTCCCCCGAGATGCAAGCAAACTACTAGGAGAGGACGACTCCTTCCTCTCTCTGCCGCGATTTTCCCGACGCACTTTTTACTTTAGATCCCGATCGTATTGGTGTTGGTCTACCGTCTACCGCTCTGTATACCAACCGTCGAACATGGCTATGGAAATGACCGAACGACTGGTTTCGGTTCAGGCGAAAGAGACGCGCATGTCAAACCGACCCACACACACACACACACACACACAAAAGAAAACTGACAGAATACGAAAACTGTTACCAAATTTCCAGCAAAACCGCAGCCACGAAACGCCCGAACTACGTAAAACTACACGATACACACCTGCTCATCCAAAAAAAAAAAACCTTATCTAATCACCCGCAAATTTCCAACGAAATTCAAAAAAAAAACACAACATTTGACAACTGTGTCACGTCAATAGTTTCGCGCACGCGCTCCGCCGACACGCTAGCAACTTTGGTTGCCTACATCGACTTATTCAAATTTTAATTAACATTACGTAATTACATATTATTTCCAATCAATTCATAAATTATCTCATTTCTTAAGGAATTAGATGCAGATAATTAATAAACTCAATCTTTGCGATTGAAATAATTCATCGTAAAACTTGTATTTTTTTAAATTGTTTTTTTTTTCTCCATTTCGTTGAAAATCTAAAGCGTTCGCATATTAACTGAATAATCAATGTTTCGTTACGCAATACATCCTCTCGTATATTGAATTTGAAATTCCGATATGATTCTACGTTTCCTTCTCAGAATCGCATCGCCTGCAAAACGCAAACAAACAAACGCAAACTTCTAACGATGTTTTGTTACTATTTTATGAACGTTGACCCCCCCAGTTGTTGGGAATATAATAACAAGGGATTCGCAATCAATACGCTTTTGTGGGGGGTTTTGGGTTTAACAGGCAACGACCTGGAGGCGATTTAATCGTTCCAGTTTGCACTTTTTCCTCTTATTTCTTTTCTATTTTCCTTTCTCTCTCTCTAAAGCAATGTTTCCCAAAGTGGAGTGCAATTCGAAAATGGACACATCTAGAGTTTAACTTATGGCGTAACACTGCTCTAAAGGAAACGAGATTCCACGTGATTTCCTTTTTTCCAACTGTAACAGTTTTCCCATCGATTTTTCGCAAACGGCGCCCTCGCAAAAGCGCGTTTCTCGGACAAGAGAAATTTAATTTTACATTTATTATCGATTTTGTTGTATCTTTGTTAACTTAATTTATGATTATAATATAAGAATAAAAGGAATAGATTAGATTAGATTTAGTGTGAAAAATTTATTAAAGTTTTTGATGATTTTTGTGGGGAAAGTTTTTACAAATCACGAATTTTATTTGCTTTTTAACATGTGTTGTTTGTAGTAATTAAATGTAATTGCAATAAGAAATAACAATATTGAATGTAAATGGTTGTGTTCAGTCGCAATTGATTTATTTCAGTTTAAAGTGTACGAATATGAATTGTGCTGGAGGGTGGTAGAAGAGGAGTATCGATTTTATGTAGGCGGAGTGGAGCGCAATCTCGCCCGGACGAGGAAATCTTATCAGTACGTACTCTGGTTAGTTGCAGCAAAATATATATATATAGAGAGAGAAACATATGTAAGGAGATCTGTCGTGGTCATATCGTGTATCATGAGGTTTTGGTTGTTGTTGTTGTTGCTCCAGTTTGTTGATCGTGCCTGAAGAAAAGAAGAAAGTGAAGAAGGAACCATGAAGTGCATTCTGGTGTTCAATCACCTCAACGACATCATATACACCAAGTACAACAAGAAGTTTGCGGTGCACATCAACGAGTTCGCCAAATCGCAGAAGCTGCTCACGCAGGAGGTACGAGTTTTCTTTTCTATTTACGTAAACATTGTTCAATTTGTTGAGATCATACGTATGCAACCACACTTCCAGGAGATCAACTCGAAATTGACCACAGCCATCATCGTGCAGATCTTCTCGCCCATCGTCACCTCGCAGAGGATAATGAGCTGCCAATTCGGCAACTCGTACACCTCGATCCAATGTCAGGATGGAATCAACATGACTTTCGAAGAGGTTTGAAGTCTTGACCAATTTAAAACTTTGATTATTTGTTGTTTTTTAAATTTCAGTACATGGGCTTTCTGTTCGTGTGCATCGGACTGGACGATGTTAATACCATGAAGCGTTTCTTGAACACCTGCGTTACCATGGTGAGGTATCTGTGCGGTCCGGATGTGATGCTGTAAGTGAGCGGAAGCGACGAGGTTCGTTGCAATTTGAATTTGAATTCGTCTTCGCTTTCAGGTTGAAGAGCAACACGCAACTTGCGGCTCTCGTGACCGGTCTTCTAGATAGCTGGTCGCAGATGCAGAACTACGATCAGGCTATGTTCGTGGAGGCCGTGGAGCAGCTGATGGTCAACTCGGATCTGACTTGCGTCGCGATACAAGCCATCCAGGAGGCAGTGGATAAGCTGCAGGCCGTCTCCGATGGGAACCGCATCCACGGTCTGGTTCTGGTGGAAAACAAGTTCCTCTCCTTGTACTCGACGTGAGCTTTCGAACGCACTAACAAAAACCAATTCGGCAGACAATTTATGTTTCGTGGATTCCAGACAAAACGCAAAGGAACTCTCAGCGACGGACATCCTCTTCCTGACCGTACTGAACGAATGCACCAACAAGCTGAAGGTGATCCAGGACGTCGAATCGGACAGCGAGGAGGAATTCTACAGTCCATCGTCGAGTCCCGTCCACAACTCGCTTGCCACCAATCTGAACGAGATATTCCAACCGGAGATCAACGGAATCTCCAGCTATCAGATACTACTCTCCGGTCCGGATTATCAGACCAGATGCATTCCGCACGCCATCCACATCAAAGAACTATCGCCGGGGCTGAGTCTCGTCATCCTGATGGAAGTCGGCAATCCGCTCGTCTCCTCCAGCCTCTACAACACCTTCACCAACATACACACGATACAGACCGTGCAGATGCAGAGCGACGAGGACACTTTGCGACCGGTATTCGATAACCTGGACAATTCCATTAAGAAGCTCTGCGACGCACTGAAGAAGACGAAGCACGGTGGAATCGAGTTCGCCTACAAGCAGTTGACGAAGCAGTGGGAGTTCATGAAGAAGAAGTACTTGGAATTCATGAAGGCGCATTCGGCGGAAGCGCTCTTGCGCGCCGAATCATCGACTCCCGGTTTGCTGGATACTCTCAAAGAGATCCTGAGCCTCACCTGCTTCGATCAAACTGTGCTCAAGTCCAGCCAGAGACACATCAACGTGATCGCCGAGGGAGTCGCAGAGAAGTTCTTGAGTTACAACGATTTCCTCAAGGTCAAGGCGTTGCGCAACTTCCCGCTTGGATCATATCCTTTTTTCAAACTTATTATTATTATTAATCTTTTATTATTTTGGTTTTTTTATTTCTCTGTCCTTAATGGATGAATACTAGACATTCCCTAACCATCAATAAGTATCTCGAAGAGTTTCCAGGATTGGTGCATTTCCTGTACATCGATCGCAGCAACCATCGAGTTACCGCTCCAACTTTGGACTTTAACTCTGAACAAACTAACACTCTCACCAAGAAGAAAGTAAGTAAGATCTCTTGTAAAACTTGGGCAAATTGCTAAATACCTTTTTCTTTGACGTTCAGATCTGGTCGATGATAAACTTTTCGCGGAGTCATCTGCAGGAGGGACATCTTTCGCTGATGTGGAAAGACACGACGTTCAATTACGCCTACTTCCTATGGTTTGAGGATATGGCCGGATCACCGGTCAAGCCGACGATATTCCCGACGAACGCCTCCAAGGTTTTACCTCAGCCCGGCATCCTTTGCGGCGATTTCTACCAGTAAGTTATTTATTACACGCAACGCAATCAAATAAACGCACCCGCGACTTTCAAGGAAGCTGAAGGAAGCCTGTTTCCCGAAGATTTCCCCGGCGAAGATCAGATGTTACGAGCTGTTCTGTATACACCTGGGATTGGCGACTGCATCTTGCGTCTTGGAACACACCAGACGTTTGGCCGCTACAATCTGGGAGTTGAAGGGTCACCCCAACAATCCCATGGACCTGCTCTGAAGAAAAAAAGATGAGCAAAACGAAATAATTATCTCTTCTTCGATGCGTTATTTATTCTTTATTTATTATACAACACTCTTGTTATATATTAATATTATAACACATATCCTTAATAACTTTACTTAATAAAAAGACAAATTGTCTTGGAAATAACAGAGTTTATAGTGGAGATGAAATCGAGTCCACGTGAAGACGAAACGAAACAATCGATAAAATAAAAATCATATAAATTTAATTAACAAAGAAATGTGTTCAGTAAAGATGAGTAAACAACATCCTACAACGTCCTCGAAATAAAAGATACAAAAAAAAAAACAATAATATAAATAAAGCGTTAAACAATTGTTATTAGAAGAAAGCAGTGATTGCATTCAATTGCAAAATAAGATTGAACCTTTGGTATACACCTAACAAATATGTAACGGCGTGTGTTAAGTTTTGTTGCCCTGTAAAGCTTTCGCGTAATTCGGCACAGATGTGTTGTTATTCTTCAAAACACAGCTGAAGTCGCTCTTCGAAGAGCTCGCATTCGTTTCAGTCACTTGATTCACCAGAATATCAAACACATCGACAAGTTCCTCATCCTCACTGTCCATCATCTCCTTGTTTCTCAATTCCCTCACCTCCTCCTCCAGCTGGAACATCACCCTTTCAGCCTCGCCGAGCTTCTCGATCACCTTACTTATGTGATCGTCCAAATTCTTCTCCAGCTTGTTAACAACGGAATAACCCAAACTCGTATCTGCGTCAATATTATCGACGATCCCTTTGAACGTTGCCGAGCAGTCTTCGGGGCTCTTGTAGAAATCGTTGGGATCTTTCAAATTGATTATGTGCATGGGCATAGTCTGGAAGTTCTGATTGGCGTACCTGATGAACGTCTGCGAGTACAGGTAAATGCAGTTGGGTTTAATTTCTGTGGTCAACAGAAAACAGGTGAACTGATCGGTGGCTTTGGGCATGAACAGTTTCGCCAGTTGCTTGAACACGATCTTCTCTCTGAGCGTGAGTTTGAAGGATGTGGTGTGCTTGAACTTGAACCAGGACACGACTCTGGGCATCTGATCACCGACGAACTCCTTGATCTTGTCCCTGTTCACATTGCCAGAGTTGTCGTAGAAGTATGCGAGGTTGGGCAGTGGCAGTATCGAGTTGATCTTCACTATCCTCTCAATGTTAACAACCTCCTGGTCGTTATCGGTGATGGTACGTTTCTCCTTGGTGATGACATCGCCAAGCAGGAATCCCTCCTGTAAGTAAGAATGTAAGTGTCATCCTGGCTTTAGGGTTATGTTGTTTGCTACTTACTTGATCGTACTTACTTCGCACGTTCTCGTACAGCAGCAAGGAGAATGCAGTTCCAGATATATTCACGCAAATACTTTCGCCCATCTTTACACCTATTTAACAATTATCTGCACATTCACAAACTATACCTTCTGTTTATTGCATTTCTTCTCTTTCTCTTCTATTATCATCATCATCATGATCCAAAATAAATTAGTTTACCAACAATACACCACCACCACGGTTCTCAGGTTGTACAACGCAAAGACAAAAAAAATATTTTTCAAATTAATGAAGAAAAGTTTCTTATAGGATTACGTTATATTCCAATTAGCATAGATTGAGTGCAGACTACAATTTAATAGTCTATTACGCATTTATTATTTTGATATTTTAGCTGTAAATAGTTAATAACTAAATAAATAAAATCAAGAGGCGCTTGACCAAACACCAATGACGAGAATAACAAATCAACTAATACGAATCTAGTTAGGAAATATTTTCCAAGTTTTCTGGAGATTCCTTCGGATCAGAAATGTCTCCACTGACGGGCGATAAGGGCCTAATAGGAACGTTACATTGCAGGCTAACTGGTGGCAGATCGGAGCAGTTCGAAGTACTCGCGCCTACAATAAAATATTATACAATAGTTGGCTGTTGTTGATATTGTTTTTAGATTGGTAACAAACTGTCTGAACAATTGTTTTTTAAAGTTTTTTAAATGTAGGTAAGTTTATTGTTAGTTATGTATCCTAAATAAATGATTATTTATTTACCTTCATCAGCGGCAATTTTCGGGACGCATCTGTTCCTGGAAATCATCCTCTTCGCGTCCAACTTGATGACCTGCGGTTTACCAGCGCACGAGACGTTCTGGCAGTAGGGAGTGTTGCACATGTACGGACTGTAGCGTTGATGCTTAGGATAGCCTTGAAAGAGATTCCTCCTGTTCTGGTAAAGCTCTTTGCATTTCTTTGCGTAGAGCAGTTTGTCCACGGCGATGAAGAAGTCGTTCTTGCAGAGGGTCATGACGGTGTGAAGGGTGGCCGGATGGACGTTGGGGAAGAGCTGCATGAGTCGGACGAAGTGGAAGAACTGGCTGGACGAGTGTCGGATGTAACTTCTGTTGTCCGGCGGTGCACCAGATGCGTTCGTCTCCTTGAATGCGGTTATATAGCGGTTATCGAAACGGATCTCGCGGTACGTCTCAAGCTTTATATTTACTTGGTTCTCGTTTATGCTTTTCAGTTTCTCACCTTCCTCCTTCACATCATCCATCTGGACGGTTTCGTCCTCTTTGATGCTGGAGGACTCTTCGCATTCTAGTTGCTTGCTGGTGGACGTTACCGATTGCAGTGGAGCGGTGGACGTCCACGGACTCTCCGCAGGATGATTCAGGACCTTGATCTTTTTCAGCGTCTCCATTCGCGCAGTTTGTTGATTATTGTTACTAGGAAGGCATATTTTGTTATTGTTGATTTTCATTGAGAGACAACACCTTGATTATCACAACAAGTTAAATAACTTGAATCGTTAAACAGTAACTGCATAAATCAGTAGTGTATAAGCTATAGATCGTCTTAAAATAAGGTTTGTATAATAACAAAAATATTTTTATTTAACAAAGTTAGTATTAGTATTACATGAAGCGTGGAAGCTGACAATCGGCCATCTTCAATGAGACGTAGGCATTATACTGTTTCACCCTGAGTTTGCTCCAAATAACGTAATTATTCAGTGCAACGATTTGGGCGCAACCTAAGGCGGCACTCTCCGGATAGATGACGGTGCTGCAGCCGAGACCCGAGGGAACGTTCAGACTGGACCAGATGTCCATGCCGACGTTCTCGGTGTTAACAGGTGGACAATTGATGACCGGACAGCTGGAGTTTCCGCTGATCACCGGTCCAAGACCGTTCGACCTTCCGGCGACCGCGATGAAGATGATCTTCATCGGCAGCGACTCGTAGTGGCGGATGATCTTCAGGGTGTCCTTCGTACCCTTGTGTGCAGACGTGACCCTAATCTCGACGTTCAGACCCAACTCGGCGCAGTGCTTCGAGATCTTCTTGCAGTGCTCCATGTCGGAGGGGCTACCCATGAGGATGGCCACCAGGTAATCGTTGGCGGGAGTCAGATGGTCCAGCTGTTCGGCCACCCATTCGAAGTTCCTCTTCACCGTGTCCAGATCGGAGTCGGTGACGGTAGCCAAGTTGCGGTACACCTGTTTATCCACCATCAGCCTCTTGTCGCCGGACGGCCACAGCCTCCAAGAGTCAGAGTCGATGATATCTGCGAGAAGGATGTTACCGTTCTCGTCAACTCCAAACTCGATCTTCATATCGATGAGGGCGCAGTTGCGATGAGCCCAAGCCTTCTCCAGGACTTCGAAAACGAGGATACTCATGGTCTGCATAATCTCCACTTCAGCAGGTCCTGAAAAACAGTTTATCCCTTTATTAGTTTCAAACTTTAAATTGAATCTCTGTTTTAGGATAGAACAATTTTAATCGATAATAATCATGGGCTATCCAAAAAGGTATGCATACTAATATTTTATAGAGAATGAGAAATTAATTGAAAAATGGGACGTTAAGAAAAAGTAGGACATCCTCTTGCGGTGCGTCGTTTTGTAACATCTGAATTACAACACAGCATCGTTGTGTTATGTTTCGTTACCGATAAGGCGTCCGTTGAACTTGAACCCTGCTGCAATGATCTGCTCTTCAGACCATTGAGGGTCGTGGTTGGCGTCATCCTTGAAGAAAGTCTCGTGCTTCGGCGGTGAGAATCGGTAGCCTTCGGCAACACCCGGATGGCGCTTCAAGAAAGAACCTGTTGCCAGACGACGGGTCACCCACTCGATCGGGATCATCTCGCATTTCTTCGCAAGGAACGCATTTTCAGAGGCGATCTTCACGAAAGCCGTCTTCATACCTTCAAAAAACATACATTCATCATGAATCGATTTCTTTGTAGCTAGCATGTGGGATGATTTCGGTGGAATGTAAAGCAACGCACAGGGTTTATCTGTTGTTTATGTTTTACTAGGCAGATAACGTGTGTGTGTGCGTAATCTTTCGCTGCTTAAGATGGGTGTGTTATGACGACGTTTCAATCAATCAATCAATGCCGCTGCGAATCTTACCCACGGAATTGAGGATTTCGAAGACTTTGGCGTTGGTTTTATTGGAAATGGCAGCTTTGCCGGTCAAGCTGTGCGACTTTACGCCATCTCCAGCTGTGATCCTGTCCTTGCTGAGGAGGATGCAATGTCCCGGCACCGAAGGAACGTCGTATACCTGCTTGGTCTTCCCTTCGATGAGGACCTTTCCCAACTTGTAACCGCCGACTGAAAGCAAGAGCGACGGTGTTCAAAACCAAACGCGTTCATCACGTTTACAAACAGAAATCCTGTTACCTTCTGTAACCGTGCTGCTGCTGCTGGCCATCCTGCTATCAAAACCCTTTTGGGAATCTTTTTGGAACTGAAACAGCGGCGGAACCAGGACCGGCTTTTATAACCTTCGTTCGCGAGATCGCCTCCTTTCGCGCACGCGTGCCTTCCTTAAACACAACTTTCCAAGAGATCGGCGAAAAAAAGGCTTATCAAAAATGTGTTGCGTGTCCACTGTGATGGCGCAGTCATCGAATCTTAGTTTAAAGGCAGCACATATCGAGGCGCCACTACAGATTATTTAAATACAATAACATTTCTTTACATTTCCAGATAATTCTCCAGTTTATAAGGTAATCATTTATACATTTGTAATATATATACTATATGAATTGCAGCAGGGAAAGTACACAAAAAATGTGTTATGTAGTGGATTGTTTTGATTTAAGCTTCGACGACAATGCTGTAGAGGCGCCACATGAGTTTCCAGGGCACGCCACTTTATATGTAGTTCCAGCGACTTTCCATCATCGACAATTGTTCACTGATCGCAAGAGACGCCAAATAGATGGAAAGTGCGTCCGTCTTCTTCGTCCCCGGTCCCGCTTCCTTCCAACAACGTCTTTACGCAAGAAGGGGAAACACGTGATTATTTAAATATCGCTGCCGAATCTTAAACTTATTAAGTCACATTTTCAGTGCGCTTAAGCGCTAAGCACTCTTCAACTTACTCTCAAGTTGAGTTCCTGTCGCTCTTCGCCTCTTCGTTTGCAGTTTAGGTAAGTTTTACACAAGCATTCATTTTAGAAACTATCGCTAATCGGTAATTATTTATTTTTTTTAATTCCTCGTCCTCGTCAAAATCTTCGAAACGAAGATTGTTGAAACCAAAATTGAAATTAAGTTATGCGTAACGGTACCACCTAAACAGATCACATGTATATTTTTCAATTTCTCAATCTCGTTATTTCCACGCTAATAAACTACACTGGACAAAGAATTTTAGAAGTCCAAGAACATGTAGTAACACATGTTATACACTAATTGTACCTATTATCACTATGTTATCATAACATTAAACAATTGAATTATAATCAATATAATTTATATAAAAAAAAATAATATTTTATATTTCTATACGATCTGTGGAAATATTGAAATTTCAATGATGATCAGCACTTTATGAAATATTTAAAGAAATTGCGGAACGAGGATACAAACACTAACGACGATTTATTTTCTCGTTCCTCGAAGAATTATCAATTTGCCTCGATAAAAAAAAAGAAATAACACATTTCAACACTCATTTACGCATCAAAACCGTATATTGTAAAAGGAAATTTGTCACTAATATAATCTTGCGCTCTCGATTCGATAACATCTCTGACCTTCGAGGAATATCATCCGAATACTAACAATAAACCCAAAAAATGAGAAAAATAAAGTGGAAAACTGCATTGATGAAATATGGATTGAGAAAAAGGAAAAAGAAGAAATAGATCAGTTCGCAGGGGTTATCGATGCAATGCAATATGTACAATTTGCACGCGTATCTAATACAAAGTGGAATGTATGAGCGTTCCGAGGAAAAGTTCCTGATTGTGATTATATTGTGTATTGTTGTTTTTTTTTTTTTGCAGGATTTCTTTCTGGAATGGAGCGGTTCGAGCTGAAGGGCAAACGGCTGGGCAGAGGTGCCGTGGAGTCGGGGCTTACACACGAGTGCGGAGTGTTTGGGGCCATCGGCACCGGAGATTGGCCCACCGAGCTGGACATCTCGCAGATCATCTGCTGGGGTCTGGTCGCACTCCAACACAGGTAACTGTAACATTCAATTCGACAATAATGTTTATACATTGAACTATTTTTTGGCAGCGCAAATATGAAATTGCTGACTCTCTTTACCATTACATCTGAACTTGATCAAATTTAATTACGTTGAACTCTAAATGTATACTTGACAAAAAAAAATGAAATAGCAGAGCTATAGAGAATTGTTATTTATGTTTATTTGATAGTGTTTAGGTCGGCACAATTAGCGCTGCCGCGAAGTACACGCATTTTGCTATCGCGATGTGTTTAATATTTTAAACAGCTTAGCAAATAAATTTATTACTGAAAGGAGAAAAAAACGAAATAAATAAAGATAAATGTTGTGCAGGGGCCAGGAATCAGCGGGGATCGTGACGAGCGAGGGCAACTGCGCCAAGTCCTACCACGTGCACAAAGGCATGGGAATGGTCAGCAACATATTCAACGATGAAGTCATGAAGAAGCTGAAGGGTAATCTGGGCATCGGCCACACCAGATACTCGACGTCGGCTGCATCCGAAACCGTCAACTGTCAGCCCTTCGTCGTTCACACCGCGCACGGAGCGATGGCCGTAGCTCACAACGGGGAACTGGTCAACTGCGACGATCTCAGGAAAATGGTACGTATTACAGAGAAGAATGTTTTCGGGAAGATTTTAAATCGATTCCGTTTGTTTAGGTTTTAGGTCGCGGCGTTGGTCTGTCCACGCATTCGGACAGCGAATTGATCACGCAAGCCCTGTGTCTGAATCCTCCGGAGGGCGAAAAGAACGGCCCCGACTGGCCGGCAAGGATCAGACACCTCATGGAGTTGGCACCGTTGAGTTACTCTTTGGTGGTCATGATCCGAGACAAGATCTACGCTGTGCGCGATCCATACGGCAATAGACCACTCTGTCTAGGCAAAATTATACCTGGAAACGAACGTTAGCATACTAAATTAGATTGACAATCTAATAGTCTAAATTTCAAAAACGAATTTCAGGTTTGGACGGAGATTGCGATGATAGCAGGAGCGCGGACGGTTGGGTGGTGTCTTCAGAGTCCTGCGGTTTTCTTTCCATCGGTGCGCAATACGTGAGAGAGGTATATCCCGGGGAGATCATCGAGATGACGCGCGACGGTATCAGATCGATAGACATCATCGATAGGCCTCAGGACAAATCGCAAGCGTTCTGCATCTTCGAGTACGTGTACTTTGCAAGACCGGACAGCATCTTCGAGGGTCAAATGGTGTACAATGTGCGGATGCAGTGCGGCAAGCAGCTCGGTATTGAGCATCCGGTTGATGCAGATATTGTTAGCAGCGTGCCGGAATCCGGGACTGCGGCAGCGCACGGCTTCTCCAGACAGGTATGCTATTGATATTGCCTAAGGTTTGATTAGTATTAGATTAGTATTGATTACGCGTATATTCCAGACGGGAATTTCTTTCGCCGAAGTCCTCTGCAAAAATAGATACGTAGGGCGCTCCTTCATCCAGCCCAGCAACAGACTCAGACGATTAGCGGTCAACAAGAAATTCGGTGAGTTTCGAAATGCTCGTTAAGAGTTATTCAGTTAATAATAAGTGCGTTCGTAGGTGCGCTTTCGGGTAATGTTAAAGGGAAGAAGATCATTTTGATTGACGACTCGATAGTGCGTGGAAACACGATCGGTCCCATCATCAAGTTGCTGAGGAACGCTGGCGCTAAAGAGGTGCACATTAGGATAGCAAGTCCGCCGCTGATGTACCCATGCTACATGGGCATAAATATACCGACGAGGGAGGAGCTGATCGCGAACAGAATGAACACGGAGGAACTGGCCAAGCACGTAGGTGCCGACTCTTTAGAGTATTTGAGCGTGGATGGGCTGGTAAAGGCTGTACGCTCGGACATAGTGAGCAAGAGTCCGACGAAGGTGGGCCACTGCACGGCATGCCTCACCGGCGAGTACCCGAACGGCGTTCCCACCCAGATGGATTGGTGAAACGAACAACAAATTGCCGAATCTCCTTTTTATTATATATATACATAGTTTACAACAGTGACCCATCCCGTTCTCGTTTTTACAACAATTATACAACAACATCCCGCCTCTCGTCTGAAACTATCACGAGGAGGACGCGGCCTCTACATCCTTCAACGTCTTCGGACAATTCGCGGTCAGCACCACCGGTCCATCCTCCGTCACCAGAACGTCGTCTTCGATCCTCAACCCCAACCCTTTGAATTCCTTCGGAGCCTCGTGCTTGTAATTCACGTAAATACCTGCAATCATTCCATCAATTTTAATTAAGTATATAAATTGTAAAGAAAAACTCAATTAAAGATATTTACTACTTCTTGTAAACATCCAACATCTGAGAACAATTACCTGGTTCGATTGTGATGATCATTCCTGGCTGCAGAGGGATATCTCTTGATACGGAGCCGGTGTCGTGGACGTCCATCCCCAGGTAATGGGAGACGTGGTGCGGGCAAAAATCGTACGCGTTTCGCATCTTCGTGTTCATGTCACTCTTGGAGTCGATCAATCCGATATCGCCGAGTCTGATGGCCAGCAGCTGGCACATCAATTGGTACAGCTGATTCAGTGTCGGTCGCTTCTTCATGGCATCGATCAACTGCGTCTGCACGTCCAACAGGGCTTCGTAAGCAGCAGCCTGTACGTTATTAAATTGTCCATTCACCGGCCAAGTCCTGGTTATGTCGCTGCTATAACCATGATATTCGCAACCTGAAAAAGATATAAATTAATTGGTTGTAAAGAGCACGCAACCAATTCATATGGTAATTACCAGCGTCCATTAGGACCATATCGCCGTCCCTCACCATCTGGTTGTTGTTGATGTAATGGATTATGGTGGCTCTATCTCCACCTGCGACAACCGGCGGATAAGCCAACATTTCTGCGCCCATCTTCCGACATTCGTAATCCACAGTTGCAAAGATTTCGTGTTCATTTACACCTGCAATCGAACGATGTACGCATTAACGTAACATATAGTAAATTCAAAAGTGTCACACAACTATGATACCTGGTCTGGAAAAGTGCATAGTCTTGCGGATGGCTTCAGAAGCGATCTCGCAGGATCGCTGCATCAGTTTAATCTCCGCCGGCGATTTGATCACCCTCAGATTGTGTATGCACGACGTCGGATTGTCCCAGACTTTGCTGAAGACCTTCTTGAAGTACTCCTGCAGAATGGTGTCGACTTCGGGCAGCGGCGACTCCTTAAAATTGTACCTAATAAATAGTTTATAGTCGCGCTATGCTCGTATCCAAGAAGACTTTACCATAACAACGAAGACGACGTCGGTTGCGCGCAGCATTGCATGAAAGAGGACAGCTCCTTCATGGGCAAAGACTGATCGACCCCGAACAGACGCACCGCATTCTCCGGCCCCGTGCGTGGACCGTCCCATATCTCCGAATGTTGATCCTTTTCCCTCAGGAAGAGCGTGCTCTGATGTTGTCCAGGCGACGTGGACGCCGTTATCACAAGGCAGCTATCCGGCTCCATGCAACCAGTCAAATACAGGAAGTCGCTGTGTTGCCTAAACACGTACGGGATCTTCTCCGACATGTACTTTTTTGTCGCAGATGGTATAACAATCTGAAGAAGCAATTATTACATCAAGCAATCATTACATCAGCATAAAATGTTTGCATACTAACAACATGTCTATTCAATTCCGGATAACGTTTCCTTGTTTGAGAGGTTATCAAATCGATGAGCTTCTGCCTTCTCTCCTGCAGCTCCAATTTTGTGATCAGAGGGACCACCTCACCCTCATTAATCAAGTGCGGATGTGTCTCATTCGTAGGCTGTCCCATGTACTGCACCGCTCCATCCTTATCATTGACTTTTGCTGTTGTATTTGCAGCACTTATACTTTTCAATCGGAGGATTGCTGCAAAAGAAGATAAACTGAAATCTATAAACAATCAATATATGAAAAGACTTACACAACTGCTTGTTGTAGTTTCTTAAGAATCTTAAGGAAAACATTTTAACTTTCCAATTTAAAATTAGCTAGGTTAGAGAAGTGATTGCCACACAGAAGATTTACCACTGGCTCCCATCAAAACAGAATATTATTACACTGCCGTCAACGAGTGTTTAATCATTTTCAAATAAATAAAAAAAAATATATAATTTACAGAGAACTTGACATTACTCGGATTTGAAAAAAACGCTCGCAACAATTTTAGTATGTTTTCGTTTCGAAATTGGTTGCATTGCATAACATAAATATAGACTTTGGAAATTTATAAATGAAAAAAAAAGGAAATAGAAGAGAGTTTTATCTTTTAGATTAGTCAATGAAAACATTATTAGATAAGCAATTATTATTCAGCATTTGCTGGTGGCAACGTGCTGGATAATGCATCTTGTCGATTGATTGATTCCATCTAACCATTGCAAATCGTCCTTGTTCAAAAGCGATTTCATCTGAGAATTGGTTAAAATCCTCTTCAGCAAATTCTCTTCGTTCTCCTCCTCCTGTTCCTTTATTGCGTTTTTCACGCATTTTGTGTAAAACAGTCGACGTCTGTTTTTCGATCTCTTGATCACTTTATTTGCGATTGGTACATTATCTTCTTTTCCTAACTTCTTCTCCATTTCTACTACTTAGACTCAAATTTAGATATATTTAACAAACCACAATTTCTATACTACTCGAAAATACAAATATTTAGAAAAAAACAAATATGTTTTTGTAGTAAATAATGAAATTAAAAAAATTATTTGTGAAATACAATTTAATAAGTTTGGAGCTTTTAAATTTGTTTTGTAACTGATGTAGGTGTCGCTGCAAGCAGTAACTCTTAACCTAATAGGATTTGAGCGGGAAAAGGATTTAACTGAATGGACGTTGTTGTTGTGTTTTGGTGTTACATGTTAGAGTATTCTTATAAAGTAAGTGCGAACGAAGATGATGGATCCACAGGATGTAGATCAAAGATCTAGGGAGTTGCAGAGCGAGTACCTGGACTTCCTCGACGACGAGGTAATGTTGTCTTTTTGAAATTCAGTAAATTGCATTCATCAATTCATCATCATCATGTTTTTGTTTGTAGGAGGATCAAGGGAAATACTCTCAACTGGTCAAGAATATGATTGCTGACAACAAGAGGAGACTGATCGTGAACATAAATGATTTGAGAAAGAAGAACCCAAAGAGAGCTCACAGTTTGCTCAATAACGTCTTCGAAGAGCAAATGGCCTTTCAGAAAGCTTTGAAGGAATATGTGGCAACGGTTGCCCACGATTTTGGTAAGCTGCACGATGATCTGTTCATTGCGTTCGAAGGGAGCTTCGGAAATAAACACGTCACACCGAGAAGTCTCCAGGCGAGGTTCTTGGGTAACTTGATTTGCGTTGAGGGAATCGTGACGAAATGTTCGTTGGTGCATCCGAAAGTCGTGCGGAGCGTGCACTATTGCCCAGCCACGAAGAAAGTGATGGAGAGGAAGTACACTGATTTAACGTCTTTGGAAGCGTTTCCCGCGAATTCCGTCTATCCCACCAAGGTTTGTTTGTTATTTAAATTTTTCTTTAAAAATTTTCTTATTTTACATTTAATTGTTTTAGGATGATGATGGAAACTTATTGGAGACTGAGTTTGGGCTTTCCAGTTACAAGGATCATCAGACTGTGACAATACAAGAAATGCCTGAGAAAGCACCCGCAGGTCAATTGCCGAGGTCTGTTGATGTAATCTGTGATAATGATTTGGTAGACAAATGCAAGCCTGGAGACAGGGTGCAGGTGGTGGGGAACTTCAGGTGTCTTCCCAATAAGCAAGGCAGTTTTACAAACGGTACTTTCAAGTGAGTTGAACTGCATTACATATATGTGTGCAATGAAAAAGTTTGATTTCGTTTATTTTGTTTTAGAACTATTGTGATTGCTAATAATTTGAACCTGCTGAGCAAAGAGGCGAATCCGTCGATTTCGCGTGAGGACATTGCTCGCTGCAAGAATCTGGCTAAAACCAATAAGAACGTATTTAATTTGCTGTCAAAGTCGTTGGCGCCGTCGATTCACGGGCACGATTATATAAAGAGGGCCATACTTTGCTTGCTGCTGGGCGGCGTGGAGAAGATTCTGCCGAACGGAACGAGGCTGAGAGGAGACATCAACGTGCTTCTAATTGGAGATCCGAGTGTGGCGAAATCGCAATTACTTCGGTACGTGCTGTGCACCGCTCCGAGGGCTATCCCAACGACAGGAAGAGGATCGTCCGGCGTCGGTCTTACAGCTGCTGTTACCACCGACCAAGAGACCGGGGAGAGAAGATTGGAAGCAGGAGCCATGGTGTTGGCAGACAGAGGTGTAGTCTGCATCGATGAGTTCGATAAGATGTCCGACATAGATAGGACGGCGATCCACGAAGTCATGGAACAGGGCAAGGTTACCATCGCCAAGGCGGGTATCCACGCAAGTTTGAACGCTCGCTGCTCGGTGTTGGCGGCCGCCAATCCCGTTTACGGGAAATACGATCAATATAAAACGCCGATGGAGAACATCGGTCTGCAGGATTCGCTCCTCTCCCGTTTCGATTGCCTCTTCGTGATGCTCGACTCGGTGGACGAGGATCAAGATCTGAAGATATCCGACCACGTGGTGAGGATGCACAGGTACAGGAATCCACTGGAGCAAGACGGAGACGTCCTGCCGATGGGCTCGAGCGTGGACATGCTGAGCACCCAAAACCCGGACGCCTTCACCGGCGAGAAGGAAACGCCGATGTACGAGAAGTACGATGCGCTATTGCACGGAAACAGCCGAAAGAAAACGGACAAGATTCTGAGCGTCGATTTCATGAGGAAGTACATACACTTCGTGAAGATCATCAAGCCAACATTGACGGAGGAAGCGTCCGAGATCATCGCCGATGAATATTCGCTGCTCAGGAGCGAGGACATGCTGGAGAACGACGTGGCCCGAACGCAACCGGTGACCGCTCGGTCTTTGGAAACAATGATCCGTTTGGCAACGGCCCACGCGAAAGCCAGGATGTCGCGAGAGGTTACCGCGCAGGACGCCAGAGCCGCCATCGAGCTGGTCCAATTCGCATACTTCAAACGCGTCCTCGAGAAGGAGAAACGCAAGAGGCGCAGGAACGGCGAATCCTCCGACGAGGAGAACGAGCAAGTTCCCGATGAAGACGAAGAGGTTGCACCTAGAACCAAGCGAACACGGGTATGTCTAATCAATCATTCTTTCGGTTGGATTTATTTCAATGAAACCATTTTTGCAGCGCCGCACCGTTGACGCTCCGGAGCAAGCAACACCGTCACAGTTAGAGACTACAGAACTTGAGGAAACCGTGGCCGAGCAGAGCGTCATGGAGGCGGAGGAGAGCTCGGAGATGGCCGTAGACGAGACACCGTCGCACATAGACGACAATCGTTTGACGCTCTTCAAGAGCAGTCTGCAGAAGGGTTTCCGCGAGAACCGAGTGCAATCTCTCAGCGTGCCCAAAGTCCGCTCCATCATTAATACCGCAAATAGCGCCAATCCGTTCACCGATTCCGAGATCAAGGCTGCCATCGATAGAATGACTGACGATAATCAAATCATGGTTTCTGACGACATCGTCTTCTTGATCTGAACTTTCCATTCTTGCTATTTATTGCTGCTGATGCTGCTGCTACCAGTTACTAACTACTATTTTTGTACGATTATTTTTAAATAAAATGTTAACATTTTGAATTGGGCCGTCCCTTTTTAAATTAATAAAAGTTGATGGCAGCGCCAAAAATACTAAACTATAACCTTAGCATGAACGCTGGTAGATGGCGAACAGTTTTATATCATTCGCAATGGCGGAAGAATTTGTAACTTGACAATTGCGCCATCTCCGGATCCCATTGCAAAATCATTATAGTTTAGCCTGTTTTGGTAGCTTTAAGAATTGAATTTGGTTTCAAAATGTATTTCAACTAAAGAATTGTAATTATGATAACTGATTGTATTCGTTTTCGTTTAATTAATGGAACAACGAACGTTTGAAAGTTGCATTGCAGCGACAGCTGTCGGTAGATTTTCAAACTTAACTGTTTATTTTGAAATTTAAATTTGAAAATACGCTATCTAATCACGAAAAGTACGTTTCTAATAGGAAGTAATCATATGTTAATTGATTTAAATGATAAATTGATAGGTAATTCCCTTGTAAGATGCAAAATTTACTTTGAAGAAATGCTAGAATATGTAGATCTGGAGCATTGGGAAAAGATATAATGTAATACAATATCGTCTTTGTTTCATATTCTTTTGTAAATTAAGTTCTATATTGTAAGTCCTTATATCCCCACCAATAAGGATAAAACCGCGCGAAACTTTGCAAATTAACCTAAAAAATCGCATAAACACCAAGTGCAAATATAATCTGTTGTAATTTGTTCCTATTTTGTTGTATATTAAAATGTCCCTGAAGCGAGGAGCTTTGGTCGTGCTGGAAGGTGTCGACAGATCAGGAAAGTCCACGCAATGTCGAAAACTGGTGGAATCTTTGAACAGCAACCAAATCAAATCCGAGCTGATGGTTTTTCCTGATAGGACAACTCTCATAGGTAAAATGATTAATACGTACCTATCCAACAAGGAATGTGATTTGCACGATAAGGCCATCCATTTGCTGTTCTCTGCAAATCGATGGGAGAATGCTGAGAAGATGAAGGAACTCTTGCAGAGTGGTGTAACTCTGATTGTAGATAGATATTCATATTCTGGCATAGCATATTCGTCCAGCAAACCAGGTAGATTTCCATTTCATTGAATGATCATAATCATTTTGTTGTTGTTTAATTTAGGTATGGATATTGAGTGGTGCAAGACTCAAGAGCTAGGATTGCCTAAACCAGATTTGGTGTTGCTGCTGACTCTTGGTAAAGAGCAAATGAACAAGAGACCTGGCTTCGGTGATGAGAGGTATGAGAATGATGATATGCAGTCCAAGGTGTTGAACATTTTCCATCAGTTGGCTGATAATACGTGGGAGGTGGTCGATGCAAGTCCTAGTATCGATGAGGTGCACAAAACCCTGCTGGATAAGATAATTAAAGTCAGGGAGGACGTTGCCGAAACGAACTTGGGCACTCTAAAATTCAAATGTTGTAAATAACAATAATATCACGTGTACCACAAGTTGTATCATTCCACTTTTAGTTTGTATTTCAATTATTTATTTGTATTTTAAATTTATCTGCATCAATTTACGTAATAAACAGAAACTATTTTTTATTCAATCGCATTATTTACCTAAAAAATCTGATTTTGATGCAACTTGTGATGCATGCGTATTGCAGTTGGCGTGCCTGCTTCTTGTATTTGTTTTGTTGGTAGAAGAATAGTTGAAACGAGAGAGGTTAGCTTGTGTTTTGTTTTTCTGTTGTTTTCTTTTTGGTGCGTTTTTTAACAAATACAAAGATATGGATGACGACGATCTGACCGTCTGGTGTGGAAACCTGCCCTGCGAGATCGACGAGGAGATTCTGTACGAACTTTTCCTGCAGGTCGCACCGTTGAAGAAGGTACGCATTCCCATGCAGAACAAGACGAACAGACCGGCAAATTTCGGTTTCGTCACCTTCAAACACCTCGAATCGGTGCAGTACGCCATCAATCTGCTGCACAACACGAAACTCTTCAACACGCACATCGTGGTGCGACAGAGGACGAAGAATGCCCCAGCGCAGAACCCCTACGATGGAAATTCGTCTTACGGTGGTGAATTCAACCACGACAACGGTGCGATGATGGAGACGCAGCAGAAGTTCTATCCATCGGATTGGGACGATTCTCACAAGAACAAGAGGAATAATAAGTACAAGAGGCACAACGAACGCAGGTCATGGAATGACTATCATGAGAACGAGGGGCAGCATCATGGCAGAAACACTGATTCGTACAAGAAACATGATAATTACAGGCACAAGCATAGGTATTCCGATCAAAACAGCAGGAAGAGGCACCTGTATTAAGACATACATTCGACAAAAATGAACACTTGTGACTATATAAATATAAAACTGTGTACATATGTACAAAATTGATATTGTATTTGACTGAAATATATTACATATTGTATATATATTTGAACCTGTATCATTGATTCTACGTAAATAATAATTATTAAGTATTTCGATTTCATGTGAGAATACAATTTTACACTTTGTATTATTAAACCGTATAAATAATAAAAGTTTCAAATTGATTTTTGCTTTGTTTCTATGTACAACTAATTAATAAAAATTAACAAAACAGATAATCTAGAATTAATAAATTACCAAGTAGGGAAACATAGACTTACAGAATTATATAATACGACCATACCTCTTCAAAAGGAATCCTTCAATTGAGACCCTTGATGATGATGATGATAACAAGGAACGGATGTTAACAGCGCCATTAATGATGAACTTATAGTTCAACTGTTTTGGCGCTGTTTCGCTTGAGGAATTCGAATTAAAGCGTCTAATATAAGTTGTATAATTATAAAGATGTTTGTAATCTGTTTGCATAAGTATTTACAGTTTTAAATGATGCAACAATAAGTTATTAACGTTGTGGTGAATGATTGAATGATGCATTGCAGCGCCATCTATCGGTGAGTAATTGAAATTTTTACGATTTCTTTACTGACAGATGACAAATTTGAATTTAAATTGTTTGAAAGTAATTAAACAAATGAATTTTAGTTAATTACTTGTAAATAATACGATTTGGATTGTGAAAGTTATCGTTTATTTTAAAGATTTAGATGGAAATGTACATGATTGTTCTTATATAATGTATGTGTTGATGGTTCAACGCAAGTCCGGGCGATTGCTCAGAGTATTCTTGATTCGCAGAAGCATCGTCGTGTACCAAGAGTCGAACCTTGAGACAGAATCGTAAGATTGGACGGCGTCTGTGAAAGCATCCACGTTCTGTTCCTCCAAGGAATCGAGTACGCTTTGGATGAGCTTGGATTCTCTGGAATCCTGAAAGGCCGGACACATGAGGACGTATCTTTCCAAAGCCAACTCGGCGTTCACGACGTCGACGCACAGGTGACAGAGCAGCGCCCTGAACAGGTACTCCTTGGTGCAATACTTCAAGAAAGAGTTGTCCACGGATCGTCTGGCCACGTCCTCGTAAACCTCCACCGCTTTCTCGTAGTTCTCCAGAAGCGCCACGTGATGGGCGACCTTCAGGAAACACTTGTTCGCCGAAGAGTGGTTCTCCTCCCCGCGAAAGTACTCGCCGGACTGCTCGAAATGCTGCACAGCCTTCTGCGGTTCGTCGTTGGCCTCGTAAATCTCCGCGATGTTCTGATGGTGTTTGGCGGCGATCGCGAATCTCCCCATGTCCGTGTAAATGTCGATCGCCCTCAGATAACAATTCACCGCCTCCTTGGGTTCGGACTTCTTGTAGCTGTTGGCCGCATCCAGATGGCAGACAGCCGCGTCGTGCCTGGACCCGGCTTTCGTGTGCAGATTCGCTGCTCGACTGAAGGCGTCTCCTGCTTCGCTCCACTTCTTCACCATCTTGTAGAGGTTACCTGCTCTCTGGTAGCAGTCCGCAACCTCCTCGCTCTTCGAAGTCGAACCGAACAACGATCCGAAGAAACCCTTCGACGAGTTCAACTTCTTCTCCGCTTCGGCCATCAGGTTCTGCGCCTGCTGCTCCTTGCTCACCATGATCGTTTTTATGGAAACATCCGATCGCAAACTGCTCTCACTCACTTCACTTGTCAAACACATGACTTGTTCTTGTTACATCAGTTAACTAGATTCATTTTATTTTTTATTTTTTTCTTCTTCCAACATTTCCCAAGACAAGACAATAGCAAATAAGAAAACAACAAATTCATCAGCGAATGCATAAAATGTTTCCTTCAATCTAATCAAAATACATGTTATTATTCATCTTAGGTAACACAGGAGGTCAATTCAACTACTGCGATCGTCAATTACAACGAACAAAATCAAAACAATTACGAAACTATGACAACCTTAATTTTCCATGGCAACAAACTCAACTACCATGGCGATATTATTAATATCTCATAATTATTCTAAAATTCTTAACTAAATTACTTTGTAGAAAATTTTGTTTTTATTGTCTTTTCTTTTACAAATATCTTCACAACGATAAGATTGTACTGAATTATTTGGAAATTTTGTGATTTCCATCGAAAAATTGTTCTTCCTACATACCTACGCAGATAATCGAGTAATTTACATATTTGTACAAGTCACGAACTTGCGAGCTCGAAAACGATTACAATAGTTTAGAGCTATTTACACAAATTCAACATAATCAGCTTATATAGCAACAAAATGATAATTGTTGTAGCCACGTGCACGCGCCACGTTCTCGTTCATCTTAGCTTTTCTCTATCATCTATGCATGTAAATGTTTCCTTGTTAATTTTTGGAACACTTAAATTTACAAGTTCATATCTTATAGCAAATTTTCCTTTGATGTTTATGTACATTTTTTGACGTTTGACATTTCATAGCTTCAATTCTGACAGCTTATTAGAAGAAAACTATAAACGACATTATATTCTCTATAGATTTATCTTTAATCGAGAAATCAACTGAAATACGAAGACAAAGAATTGCTTATTACAAGAACATATTTATACTCAGTTTTGGGCAGTGGAAAAACGCAAATTTCTTATCGAAATGTCATCGAATGAACGAAAATATCTTTTATCCATGACCCGAATTTCCGTCCGCGAGAAGAATTTAATAAGCGCGTTACCGAAAGTAGCATAAACAATGCTGCAGACTATAGAGGTTCCCAAAAAACAAGTGATAACCAGAAACAACAACAACAACAAAAACAAAAATTGAAGGCATATGCTAATGCCCTAACGGCAGTTCTCTAATCCTTACCAAAATTGGTATAAATTAGATAAAAAATATATTTAAAAGATTACTCTTATCCGCCACCAAATAAATTAGCGCTGCACAGGGCCGCACTCGAAACAAAAAATAAACAGTTTCTAATAAAGACAAAGCACATTTGATTTTCAAAATTGGCGATTTTACAACTGGTTTCGTCATTATTTTTATAACTCAATTTCAATGAGACTAACAATGAATTAACTGCAATTGTTATTACTATTAAACAGTTGAATTAATTAGTGTAAATTATAAGTAAATCAGGAATTAAACAAGTGTAAATACATTCGCTTTTTATTTGTAAATTAACAGAAAAATTACCAAATTGAATTTGGATTAAAGTTTATGTTTTAATGAGAATTAAAAGTTTAGCTGTTAATGTTATAGCTTTCTATTAGTTAACATTGTGGAATTAGTTTAGTTAATTACAAATATTAATTGATTGTTATGTTTCACTGCTTTCTAATTATCGCTGATTTATGTAATATCTTGTTGTTATAAGACTTGAAGGTTTTTTCTCGTGTTAATGAAATTGCTGTGATTTGATGTGCGTTTGATTGGATTCGGGTGTTTCGGGGCGGCGAAGAGAAAGGTCTTCGCACAATGAGCAGCAGCAGCAGCAGCTAGGCGAGATGCAAAAGGAGAGGGCTTTCGTGGAGCCTTGGAACACAGTGTTTCTTTGGATAGTTTTGATATCGTTTTCCTATTTACATCGATCGAATCGATCGGAGCGCGAAGACCGACTAAGTGAGTGCGGTCCTGAATGTCGTGAATTCGTCGCATAACTTTGTGTGTGAGTGTGTGTGTTTTTCGAGTTCGCTTAATCAAACGGCACCTGCAGTGTGCGCGTATAAATACCGTAATGCTCGTGTTAGAAACGTGAAAAGTTTTAGATTTTTTTTCTGTATTTTGTCGTTTTGTGAGTAGAAGCAATGCGCTCCAAAGTTTGTGTGATCGTCGTCGTCGTCGCTCTTGCGGTGACCCTTTCGCTGGCACAGGAGAACCAAGGGATCGCTCACAAAGGTAAACTTAACTTGGAGGTTTTTCAGTTGATCGGTCACAAATTTCGTTTCGTTTTGCAGACACGCGTTTGGTCAGTCGAGGCGATGTCTTCTGCTTCGCCTGCGTCACCGGTCTGGACGCTATCATTCTGAAGAGGAGAGTCTTCAAGTTGAAAGATGGCAAGGTCCAGAAACACCTCTATGTCTTGTGCGATACATTCGGAGCTCTGGTTTACGATCCGGCGGTGTGCCGTGGTATGGTCGACATCCATCTAGTACGTAACAATTACAAAACACTTTAAGAATTTATTTTTTTTCCAATTCAAATTATTAGTTAATGTATCAAAAACTCTAAAAATCTATGTAATTAACATAGTTTGAATCAAATTTGTTTTGAGGAAAAATCACTTATAAAACACTAAATTTATATCACGAATTGCAAGAAGACCATAATCATTACAGAAACACACGTACACTCATTTAATTCTCTATAATGTTAACTTTAAAATGTGCATTCAGATAATACTGTATTATTTGCAGTTTTTCTGAAAATTAATGAAATGCGAAGACACTTCGTGCTATGTTTAATATCCATCTAGTACGTAACAATTCTTTAATTTGATACTTTTTTTCTTCTAATTTAGTGTTTTCTAAAGCCTGAGTATTCAATCATTAGTTAATGTATCAAAAACTCTAAAAATCTATGTAATTAACATAGTTTGAATCAAATTTATTGTGAAGAATCACAAAAAAACACTAAATTTTAATCACGAATTGCAAGAAGACCATAACCATTACATAAACACACGTACACTCATTTAATTCTCTATAGTGTTAGCTTTCCTATGAGCATTTATAAAATGCTATATGATTACCCGTTTTTGAGATAATTATTAAATTGTGAAGATAGATTTTTTTTTAAATATTAAATTTTTAGAATTATTTAGAAAACGCGGCAAAAGCAGACAAACTTTCATTTTATTCATCGTTCGGTTACATTTCGTATGCTCATTTAAATAATGATATACCCTTAAGCATTATCGAGAGAATTGCTAAATTATATTGCACAGTTTAAATATTGATAATTTCAATTTTGTTAGTAGCAAATGAACACAGTTTTAGTTAAAATAATTAACAATTATATACAAAATATTCGAATTCTTTGATGTTCTGGGCAAGTTTTCACAATCGAAACTTTCGCAATAAACGCAAACTTTCGTCGCTCACTAAACGATTGAAATGCTATTAGGTTCCATCTTTTTCGCTTATACAAATACATTTTCAAGGCTCAAATCACATATTTTTTTTTTGACTGGAAACCCGCAAATTTCAAGGTTTTTTTTTTCTTCAAATTTTCGTCATTCCTCAACAATTTAATCTTTGCTTATTGTTCTCGTAACCTTAAACATTATCTATTTAATACGGGAAATCAATTACACATTGATTTTTGATTGAAAAACGTGACGAAATTTGTCTTTTTGGAAATGCTTCACAAAAGTTCAAACGTGAAACTTTCGCAACGCGTGCACCAGAACATCATGTGCACCGAGAGAAACAAAAGAGCAAAAGTGAAACAAACGAAGGTGTTTGCATGGAAAAACGAAACTCGTTTGTTTCATTTACAAATACGATACACAGAAATTCCCTGAACGCGTTTAATTCGAAGACCATTTTTAGGATCCGATTGTGAACTTTGAAGCTGCAATCGAAGTCTGTGATAATTGTTCGTTTTCCAAGGATGATGATTGCACAATGTTTGGTTACGAAAAAAGGAAGTTTACTAATATTTTGGGATAACTTGTGAAGAGTTTTACACACAAGTAGAAAAGAAACGACGATTATCTAAGAATACTTAAAAGATTTTTCATTTTAAAGTGCGAATAAGTGTTTCTTTGCTATAACTACACGTTGTTAGTTGTCTTCTGAGATAAGTAGTAATAATTAATGCTGATTCAAGGTTTTAGCTTTTATTTAAATGTATTTTTTTTGTTTGTTCATTGGATAATTTCCCAATAGAACTGATTCTTATGTTGTAAATAATTATATGTAAATTGTAGGTAAAAATTGAGGAAATCAACGTGCGAATCATTGTTTTTGTTTTGTTTTGCAGAATATGATTCTGTTCTTGATTGACAATAAGAAAGACGTGAAGGGGTCCGACGCTTGCGGGTTGCTTCTGCAGAATTTCAAATGTTTCAATTCGGAGGTATCTAGATGGTCGGTGGATGTGCCGAAGGGAAAATCGCCGCCCAAGAAATTGGTAAGTTTTTTGTTGTTGTTGTTGTTAGTAATTGATTCAAAACTTTTTGATGGGATTTCAGGGAGATTCGAGCAGGGAACCGCTGAAGGTGCTGCACGTGACGGACATCCACTACGATCCACATTACGAGGCGGGAAGTTTGGCCACCTGCAGGAGACCGATGTGCTGCAACAGGGACAGCGGAAAGGTTAAGAACGTCGCGGATGCTGCAGGTTTCTGGACGGATTACAGGGAGTGCGACGTTCCTGCCAGATTGATCACGGAGACGTTCAAACATATTAGAAAGAATAACGTAACGTTTATTAAACAAATCGACTCAAGTTCATTGAAATTTACTTGTTTAGAAATTGGATTACATCTACTTCACCGGCGATATAATAAGTCACAGGATTTGGGAGACTTCGGTGGAAGGTAACAAGAGGGACATCAAGTTCATCATGAGCGAGTTCAAGAAGCAGTTTGGAGATATTCCGGTGTATCCGATCTTGGGAAATCACGAGCCTCATCCGTTGAATCTGTACGTTGTTAATCTTTATCGTTAAACGATTGATTGATTGTTTCTTTTAGCTTCGCTCCGGATGGACTGAAGAACACGGAATTCTCTACGCAATGGCTCTTCGATTATTCAGCTGAAATGTGGAGCGATTGGCTACCAGAAAATACCAAAGAAACTATAAGGAGAGGAGGATTTTACACTGTTTTGGTGCGGCCAGGTTTCAGGATTGTCGCTTTGAACAGCAACGTGGCTTACACCCTGAACGCCTGGTTGTTGTACGATGACGTGGACATGTATGGACAGCTCGAGTGGTTTGCGAAGACTCTGGAGAAGGCCGAAGAAGCAGGAGAAAGTGTCCACGTTCTATCGCACATCCCGTCCGGCGATGAGTACACTTACTCGCCTTGGGGTAGAGAATTCACGAGGATCGTCCTCAGGTTACCCATTCGTCGTCATACAACAATTTTACTAAGATCATAAGAGATTTCTTGCAGATTCTCGAACACCATCACCGGTATGTTCAACGGACACACGCATTTCGACGAGTTGAACATCTACCACGATGGAAAGGATGCCACGAACGTCGCCTTCAACGGCGGAAGCCTCACGCCCTTCTCCGACGTCAATCCCAACTACAAGATCTTCGATATAGATTCCATCAATTTCGTAATATTCTACTATTACTACTACTACTACTCATCCTGTCTAATAACACTTCAATCTTTCTAGGATATCTTGGATTATCACACCTGGATCTTCAATGTGACTGAAGCGAACAGGAAGCAGACGCCGCCGGAATGGTACAAACTCTATTCTTTCAAGAAGGAGTACGGTGTTAAAGATATGTCCGGAAAGGAGGTTTTCGATTTGATAAAAAGGATGGTCAACAGTTCGACTCTGAGGCAAACATATTTCGAGTAATAACAAATATCTATCATCTATTCATTATCTATTATTATTATTCATTATTCTGTCTAATCTTTTGCAGGAATAAGGTGAGAGTAGGCGACGCTGCTCTGGCGAAAGGTTGCGACGAGGATTGCCACAAAAATAACATCTGCAACATGCTGACAGCCGAGTACAGCAATCGAACTCTCTGCAATAAACTAACCAAAAATATTTATTAAACTAGAATTAAAACATGTTGATGACAGTACAAACTTAAATAAAACGAGTTTCAATGCAAAATACACAACCTTCAGCTTTCATATGCATCTTTTGGATTCATTCTATGTATTACAGTTTTCGAGAAAATCAATGAAATGTAAAAACACTGCTTTTTCGAGCATTTTTTAACTTTGACGGAATTACAGCCAACACGATAAAACCACAGTAATATATGAATACACAGTATCA